TCATTTCCTCTTTTTCCTTCTTTCTTCCTCTCTCTAATAAAAAAATGTATAAAGATTGTGACAGAGATATTTTCTTTAACTTTTTTAAAATTGTTTTTTGAAACAAAAAAAAATAGAAAAGAAAATCATAAACGTCAGAATAATCTTGAATAGGATTAAATTCCGAGAAGTTTTGTAATAGATGTCCAAGTATAAATTTTATGGTGTTTCAAAGAAAACAGCAGTGTAACCTACCTTTAGGGGGCGTAACTTCCGTGTCGAAGACCTCGGGCTTCTTGATCTCCGATTTCTTTCGATCGGAGGCCATGACGTTCTCGACCATAATTATTAATTGCTTGAGATATCGCTAACACTCGGGAAAATAATTCTGTTCGGCTGTTTCTCGAACAGCAGTTGCTTAGAGAGGGCAAGACTTGTGTGTGAGAAAATTCACGTCAGTCCTGTTCGGTAGTCACTCTGGCACTGTTACAAACACAACCGAACTTACGGCACTTAGAGGCAAACACCTCGCGCACGTCAGCCAATTAGATTACGCCGTGAGAACCCCGCCGATCACCACTCGATCTTCTCCCACGCGACGCGCCTTTCCCAAATCATACCTGTCTGCGTCCGCAGACGGAAGAGAGAGATAACTATATCTCCGACAAAATTCTTCATAAAAAAAAAAAAAAAAAGGAAAAAAGAAACGAATCCTTCACAAAGTAATGGTGCGTGAAAAAATGTAAATTCTTCTCGAATAAAACATTTTTCTTGAACAGTAAAAATTTTAAACGTCAGAGACGGACTTTAGAAAATAAATACACGACATAAAGTGCAAAAAAATACACATCAGTCAGAATATACCGGAAATCATTCATTCGTCACAGCGCAATTGTGTGTTTTAGATCTTCTTCATTTTTTGTTTTTTTTTGTTTTTTTAAAGAACAAAATGTTTTGTTTGAATAATTGAGGACTACATAGATAAAACCAGTAAAACAATTAGCGACATATGTTTTGAAATCGAGTTCAAACAGATTTAAAACTGTTAATGATAAATACATGTTACGAAAAAAGATTAATAATTACTACTTTACGATCTACTAGCTCCGCTTGATTGTAGATGGAAAAAATCGTCTAACACACACATCTACGATACACGTCATGTAAGATATGCATGCGAGCAAAGAACAGATGTAAAAATTATTATTGACGCCACGACGTTTATAATCGCGAGAAGAAAATATACATGTATATATCGCATGTGCGACAGCGGCGCGCACCGTCTTATTTGTTTGATTAATCGACTACTTAATTGCCGCTTAACGGTATGACATTGGAGCGGAAAATAAACGTGCTCGTCTTGCATGCCACTTCAACTGTATACGATGTAGATAACTTGTTCGAAGTTACCTCACGTGCAATTATTTTCTCGAGGCGCTTTGCAATTGTTTTAGCGATAAGGAAAACCCGTAGGAAAAAATAATGCCGATTGGTTCATCGAAATGCCAACACGAGACCACAACACGTCATCAAGCAATACCGAAGTATCGATTGATTTATCGTCGAAAAGATTTATAGTTTGTTCAACAAGAAAACTGCATTTGTGTCAAAGAAAAGAAACAGCATTTTGCTTGAAGTTTTTCTTTTCTTCTGTTTTACCACACACACACAAACATGTTTCTCTCTAAATAATCTTCCAATGTGAAAATCTGCGATGTGTTGTTGATAAACACGATACGACTAAAATTACTCGAATTGATTACATTCGATTACGGATTTTCTTATCGTGATTTATTAAAGAATACAAGGAGATAAAGAAATACGCGAAAAATATAATACGTTATCGAGTTGCACGTATATATCTCGCATGAAAAGGGACGGCACGTGCTAGTGGTTTGTCACGGAGAATAAGCGACTTTGCATAATAACACGTGTTTCTGTGGAAAGTCACGATGTTATGCGCGACAGTTCCAGTTAAAATCACCGGGCAGGAATGCAGGAGTGCGACCTCGTCTCCTAATCTAAACCTAACGCTTTTCAACCGGAATCCTAACTCATTCCCGGCACGAAGTCTCGTTTTACGAAGTAATGACTCTCACGAATGTTCCGGAGTTTCTTCTGCAACGCAACGCGGCGAATCATCGTCATCGTGACAGAAGAGGGGACCTACGAGTGACCTACAGACCCGATCACTGCGGCCTCGTTTGTGGGTTCGACAAACCGGCACGTTCGATCGGGTACAACGACGTTGCTGATCATACACTGATCCCGCTGTTAACATTCATGTCATCGGTTCAAATAATAGAAACGATAAAGAGGACGTATTGCACGAGAAGTGCTGGTTATCGCAACATTCACGAGCGTAAAAAGTTCCGCGGCGAAAGCGTATTCGACGTTAGCCCCTTCTTCCCTCCACCTGCTTCTTCCTCGCTTTTACCGAGAGACGAGAAAGTGCGGAACATCATCATTCCATCGTTTTTTTTTTCTCGATCGAGTGTCTCTTTCAGATAAACGTCGACTTCGCTGCGATTATGCTTTTCGAAGCGAAATTCACGGACATGCAAGAATATTTATTTATCAATCAATCTGTCGAGTATTTAATTTATTGTCACAGTCAACCTTTAATCTGTAATTTTTATTAACGATAATCTTAACATTGATATTCGCAGCTTTTCAAGTGGCACACGTCTTAGCGCGAAAACCAATTCGATACATATTAATCAAACACGATAATCTGCAGGTATTGCCGCAACAAAATGATCGCTACTTATGTTTAGCATTTTGATAAACCAATCGTGTACCGTGGAGTCAATCTCTAAACCAGCGATCGCAGTATTACGAGATTACAATGTGCGAACTCGAATTAAAAGTCGTAAACAAGCATTGATGTTGGATGTGATTTCGTAACAAAACCAAGTTCGATTTGATGCGAAATTCGCAATCGGGATTGCACAACGCTATCTTATCCACGAGCTGGATTTGCAAATAAAATTTGAAGAGAGACTCATGTGACGCGGTTTATTAATATGATGATAAAAGCGATCGCGAAATCTCATACCCGTCGAGAAGACGACTAATCTAATACGAAAAAGACTTTACATTGTGTGTCGAAACGCGATGTATGCGCGCTCATTTTCTGTATTTGCTCACGTCAATGCAGATAAATGTGAGCGAGCATCTGATGATACAAAAGCGGCGGGAGGCTCGTCTCACGTGCCAATCACCAGCTAATCACGCGAGCTACTAATGCAAACTCTCCCGACAAGGATCCCATTTATTGTTTTCCCATACATTTAGACGACGATTACTCGGATTAGTCGAATACCGGTCTCATTGGCTGCGGAACATCTGAAGATGAAACTTAAGCCAATCTTGAATGTAAGAACAGGCTATAAATAAATCGGTATCACAAACCTCTTTGCCGATTCAAAATAATTTCGATAATTGATCGTGGCACCGCGATAACCGATTATAGCATTTTGCTTCATTATGAAGTATACGATTGTATCGGCGAATACATGCGCGTGTTTTTTCTCGTTCGATTAAAAACTTACATAACAAAGTTGCGTGTTTTTTCTCTCTCTCTCTCTCTCTCTCTCTCATTAGTTTAACAATAACTCGACAACAAATGTACGAAAAGACATATATCATGATTGAGAGCTACGGAAGAAGAGCACGAGGTGTATCTGCGAAATGTAATCAACGACATGTTGTGCAAGCATATGAATATCACTTTTCAGAAACGAGAATTATGCCATCATTCTGGTTATAACTTGATCATCGCGCGCGTCTTGTGATCGCGTCGAACGCGCACGCTGTGTTTGTTCACGTGTTTGTTCACGAGATAACTAAACACGACATTCAGCTTAATGCGAATTTGATTCATATCTGATACGATGTGATGATCGCTTTTAACGTCAATGCGATATAATATGATGAGAGGCAAGTGCGCTAAAGACGCGTAGGTCACAAAGCACGATAAAAAGCTGTGCGTGAAATAATCTTTTGTAAACTTTATGTTTACGCGCGATTAGAGTACAATGAGATACGAGGATTGATATTGCAAAACCCCCGGCAAACCTCACTCGCGTGTAATTTTGGAATTGAAACGAAAAGACGTTCTGTATATACGTGTGTCTCGGGAATATGTTTGTGTAATATATATGTGAATTTCAGATCTAGTTTTGCAACGACGCCATCTCCATGTGAGAATACACGATGAATTCTCGGCTGCAATCTTCGCATTAACTGTGAATTTTCATATAATCCTTACACTATCATTACATCGTGCATGCGAACGAAAAGACGTTCGTGAGAACGAAGAAAGCTGACGGAATCGAAGTCCTAAGAAATATAAAAAATGACAATGCAAACCACAGAAAAAAAAAAAAATCGTCTGTTGATAGACAATTACAAGCTACGTCAAACTAGCGTTCATCATCGTACCCTGAATATTTCACAAGACATAATAATGCTCGTTATTCTAACTGCTCTCTCGTTTCTTATAAAGAGCTTATTGATTTCAATTGTATAATTTCAATAATATTAGCAAACTGAATTACCAGACACGAGAATTTGATCGACTCGACGCGATACCGGTCGGCATTTCTCAAGGATTTTCGCAGTTGATGCAGTGTGGTATTCGCGATCGGGATGATATTTCTGTATGTCTTTGTTTTGTCGCTTGCTCTCAGCAACGCGTCATCATCTCCCAACGTCGACGACGTTATCGTGAGATTCATCGTTAACGCGACGCCTATTTTATTCCCATCTTTGAGGACATCTCTACAATTGTGCATTAGCTACGGCAAGATTTTTCGCACTTTAATCTACGTCTGAAGAATCAATTATTTATCTATCGAATCTCTCGGGAATCTCTCGCGGGAATAGACAATTGAATAATGTGGTTTTTCCTCCACACAGATGACACAATCAAATTATCGAGAATATTATCGAGTCATCACGTGACCCACAGCATTCGCAACTTGTACGAGGATTTCGATCCGAGGCTTTACGACAATCTGGAACACCGTAACTTATACGTGTTAGACTTGGACTGCGATTACGCCGTTGATGTTTTACAACAGGTAACGAATTGTTGTTTCACATGTGCGTCAAGCGAAGTAGTTACGTCGTCAATAACGACGTCACCGTCAATAATGTCGTGAAACGGTATTCTTCCGGAGATGTACACTCTATCGAACCCCCCGTGCGAGAATTTCGCCGAAATATATACCAAAAGAAGTAGATACCTCGTTTCTTCTCGCTGAGGAAAGAATAAGCTCTAAAGCCGAGAGAAGCGATTCCGCTCTCACGGAAATTACACTCGCCATTGTTCCGTTTCTCCAGCACAGACAGTCGTGCCGAAGAAATTGAGCCGTAGCTGTTTTTTTTTTCTTTTTTTGTATTATATATGACGAGTTCTTGACTTTGTAAGTATCAGGACTGACTTCCCGACATGGTCTTTCTTTTCTCTTTTAAGAAACTCGAGCTTGACGAACAGCTTTTAAAAACCAAGCGCTGAACCAAGTGCAAAATATTTTTTTTAAGTGTGAATTAACACAGGTATCAATTTGAAGTAATTTTAATTTGAAAAACCACATTATTTATTTATTTTTATACTAACTATTGATTTAACAAGGTAGATAGGCAGAGAAGTGAATTAAATGCAAACAGAATTTTGCTGCTAAATAGATATGCAATAAAAAGATATATTAATTAAAAGATATGCGCGGTAGATAGTAATCGTTGGACGACTACGAGACGCGTATATATTAAAGTGAAAGATCTGCATCATTACGTCGCGATCGATACGGGGTATTAATTCCACGTTGCTTCGCGGAAACAAAACGTAGTGAGACAAAAAAACATAAATATCTCATCATGCAAAACTCTCGAATTCAAGTAAATCGGAAATAAATTTTCTCTCTCATAAAGAGAGTAGAATTACGTAAGTGGTAAAAGCTGATAAAAGTCGAGTCTGCAATTGACTTGGTCTGTAACAAACGGTGTAAACATTTTGTGTGAGAAAAAAATTGGCAGTTTCTCAGACAGAAATTGTACGCGAACCACAATAATATCTTGAAGAGATCAATCAAGCAACTTCCGGCGACTTTTAGCGTAGTCTTAAATCGTTATACATTCACTTGCACTAATACCTCTTATCTTTCAGTATCTGAATTTATACACACAAAGATATATTATAATAGTCGGTATTATCTGATAGGCACATTTGAAAAGGATGTTTGTCGCTCCGACAAAGTGGCTGCTTGTTCAAGATCGAAGAACAATTACCAACGACAACAACACCGGACTTTTGAAACACGATGACTCGATATTGGAAGTTTTCAAGGATCTAGCAATTTATCCCGATGCCGACGTGATCGTCGCTCGGAGATTCGACAGCGATTTTCTAGAACTACTGTCTCCCTACCGACCAAGTCCACAAAGAGATCTGATATGGGAAGATCGTGGAAATTGGACAATTCAGAGTGGTTTGCGTATGAAGAATTTTGACGTGGCTTCGGCGCGAAGAAAAAATCTTCAACAAACGGCTCTTAAATCGTGCCTCGTGGTACATTTTAACGAAGAACGATTTTGAAATTGACCCAAGTTTTCGCAAAGTTTGAAGTTATTATTTATTATATTATTTTTTTGTAGATGACAGATCCCGAAACGATCAATCACTTGACCGATTTTAAAGATAAAACCATTGATCCCGTCACAAAGGCCGGATATCCATGGCTACTTCATTTGGTAAACCGGATGAATGCAACGTGAGTTCTTCATTTGTTACATTAAGTGAATTCGGACTGTGTGTATGATGAGAAACACACAGACAAAGCGAGATAGAGAGTGAGAGATATTTTTTATTTTACATATATTAGAGTAAGTTTTGAAGTTACAAATACTTGGGGATATCGCGCAAAAAATGGTTCCTGGAGTGGAATGATCGGAATGTTGGAGAGACGCGAGATTGATATCGGCGGCACCGCTACATTCCTTGTGTCGGAACGTATCGGTGTCGTGCAATATGTTCAACTGTACACAGAAACACGGTAATAACTTAAATAACACTTTGTCTCAACTTTGTACTTATATGTGATATAAAAATGTAAATGTATTTACATTTTTATACATACAGCCCGCGCTTCATATTTCGACGGCCTTTACTGTCGACCGTAAGCAATATATTCTTGCTGCCGTTTCAACGAAGTGTCTGGATAGCAATCGCCATATTCCTCGCTGTGGTCTTCGGTTTGCTTTTCACATCTGTCAAATGGGAGTTTCATCAAGACAGCAGGACGCTAAAATCGTCAACTTATTGGAATCAATTAAATCCGAGCGAGCCAACAGTCAGCGATAATTTTCTTATTATCTTAGGCGCATTTACGCAACAAGGTGAAAAATATCATTAACAACATACTTTCGTATCGAGCTAGTTTGGACGTCAGAAGCTAGGAGTTTTTTGTTTTTTTAATAAAATCTGCTTTGTGTATTTTTGTAGGATATTCATACGAGCCGTACAGAATCTCGTCGCGAATTGTTACTCTTATGTTACTGCTGGCCTCTCTGAGTCTTTACGCGGCGTATACTGCGAATATTGTGGGCCTGTTGCAATCCACCACAAATTCTATCAGAACTATTTCAGATCTTTTCAACAGCCCTTTAAAATTGGGTGCTCAGGATGTTGTGTACAATCGACATTATTTCAAGGTTGGTGTCAAAGAAATTATGTTATTTAAACAAAACATTGTTAATAACTTTCTCGGCTCATTCAAAAAATCGTTACTGAACAGCGAACCAAATCGAAGACTAAATGATGTTTTTTTTTTGCGAAAAATGACAGTCTTTTCAAGATCCCGTTAGAACGGCAATTGTGGAGCAACGAATCGAGCCGAAGGGACGCAAGTCCACTTGGATGTCTCTGGAAGAAGGTGTAAATCGTATAAAAACCGAACTATTCGCATTTCACGCTGAAGTCGGCGCGGTCTACCAATTGATGCAGGATACATATCAGGAAGAGGAAAAGTGCGGTTTGACGGAAATCGATTTTTTAAACGTTCTGTCTCCACTTCTCGTGACACAAATACAATCGCCTTATTTAGAGATAATAAAAAATGGGTAAATGACAGTGAACGTGCGAATTATTTTCACATGTGTAAAAACATGTTTGTTTAGAACTCGCAAACGTGTGTTTCTAGTGCCTTAAAGTTACGAGAAAACGGACTCAAACAATACGAAGAACATCGTCTGTACACAAAAAAACCAGTGTGCTCAACTCAAACTAGCTTTATCACAATTGGTTTTACGGAATGCTACTTTGCCCTAGTCATAATGGGCTACGGAGTACTAATTGCCGTAATTATGTTTGTGTTTGAATTCTTGTGGTACAAAAGGTAAAATTTCAAGAGACTTTAAAATGTTTTGTTCTATTATTATGTTTTCTAAGTAATTTAGTTTCCTCTGTCCTCCCCTTCACCAATTTGAGTGTAATTACACAAATTAATGTGTTTTTGCACGAAACAAAAGACTCTGCTTCGCAAAAGCGAGTTATTAAGCATTAAAGAAAAATTTTTTTTTACAGACAAATCTTACGTGCAGCAAGAACAGCGCTGAATACGGAAATGTGACACCGTACAACGTAATGTAAAATAATTATTTGTTTAAAACGATTCTCCTTATATATAAGAAAAGTGATTATTACTTTGTACATTATTTTCTTATATTAAGTTTCGACTATAAAGAGCTGAAATTATTATTTAGACCTTCATTGAAACCTTCAGAGCTAAGATTTACACATATTATTTTTGTAGAATTATTTGTGAAATATGTAACGTATACATGTATGTACAAAATGTAATAAATAAATTTTATATAATAAGTTTTGAGTGGCGTAATTTAAAACCAAATGCACAAGTATCAAAATAAGCTTTCGAACTCATCGGTCAAAATCAATTCTTAACAGACCATTAAACGCGCGCTGGTAAAAAATGCTCGTAATAATTTTTTGTAAAATCAATCATTAAATCTACTGTACACTCTGGCAGTTCCTCAACACATGTTGCCGGACTGCCAGCAAAGCGAGTGAAAGACGGCACGATAGTTTCCGGTGGCACAACAGCGCCGTCTTCGATGTAACAGCAATCCTTCAGGACAGATCGTCTCCCCTAAGTAATAAAACAATGAGTTTTAATAAATTTCCACTTGTTATCCAATAAAAAAATGTATGAAATAAATGTTATACACATTATACATACAATTAAGGCATTTTTTCCTATGTAGACATGGGAACCAACCAGCGCTGCATTTACAACTGCTCGCTCTCCCACAAATACATGATTTCCCATAGTTAGAGGAAAAAAGGCTATCCTAGTTTTATGGTAAAAAAAAAAGTTTAGAAATTCGAAGCAAATCATGCTGGTGTGTTTATTATACATTTAACATGATTGACCATTTTTTTACATATTGGAAAAGATATTCTTTTCACTAGTAACATGATCAAGTTTTTGACTCACCCTCTGCTAAACTTCTTGAAAGGTGGTCGGATTACAGCATTCTTGCTGATAATACAATAACGACCTGTTCTAACATTAGCTAAATCACCTCTAATGATAGCATCAGACTGCACTATCACTTTCCCATGCAATACGATATTTTGTGAGCCACACAATACAGTCAGCCTGCTTACTTTGTTTCCTGATGCCTAAAATGTCAAAAAAGAGTGAGGTTATGTTACTAACATAAATAATCAAATAGGATCATAAAATTTCGTTTTCTCTTGCAATAACAAGATAAGAACTGTTACACTTAACGTGACATTATTGTGACATTACCGTTTCAACATATTCAGCTTTGTTGTAATAAATATCTTGCGGCTCCATCGCACACTTGATTGTGACGCACAGCTGATCAAGTTTGAGTCAAGAGAGACTGCTGTATTGAGCGCTCACGAGAAGCCGCTGTAAAAACACAGTACAGTACCGGACGTAAACAAGGGACGTCAAGTATATCAGTCACTGCAAATGCTATTTCTAACACGATTTTCTCTTGTAGGAGTTGTAGGAATATTTATGTTGTTTTGTCTAGCGAGAAGCGTTCGTGCCCAGGTGTATCGAAATATGTCGAGTTCTGCTGGAATATATTCTGTAGCGTATGTCACGGTGCCAGATGACACAGTGGCGAAGAAAATAGCGCGGTAAAAAAAAAAAGAAAATTAACAATTATATGCACAAACATTCTATTGCTAACAGAACATCGTTTTTAATAATAAATTTTTCTTTTGTCAAGTGGTTTGGTCGAAAATAAATTAGCTGCCTGTGTTAACATTATTCCACAACTTCTTTCTATGTAAGTAGTTTTTATTCTGTTTACATTACATCTCCAATTATGATGTTAGACAACCAAGAAATCACATAGCAGAACAAAACGCTATTTTATATATTTTGACATAAAACTTATGGATGTACGATTATAAATTTCTTGCTCTTGACATCATAATTTAACATGCAACGAGAGTATCTAAGACAGGAGTGAGAATAAATGACAATAACTTTTGTTACTATAGATACGAATGGGAAGGAAAGATACAAGAGGATCCTGAACTTTTATTAGTAAGTAACAAGTGTGTCAAGTTAATTAAGTTTTTTGTGCTTATGTACTAAGAAATGACACAAATATTTTTACGTTACAGATGATAAAAACTAGAACGGAAAAAATAGATGCTCTAACAAAATATGTAAAGTAAGTTTATTGGTACATATGTGTGCTTCATATATGATAATTAACTTTTCTAATTAAATGTCGGTTTTAGAGAAAATCATCCATATACGGTTTGCGAAGTGATTTCATTACCCGTAAGTTAATTTGCATTTCTGCTTTATTCTGCACTGTATTGCTTTGTATGATTGTTTTCTCCAACACAAAGAAACATCAAATATAGAAGAAAATATGAAATTGCTTGTTAGATCATCATTTTGATATCTAATTGATCCTCAATTCAGTCAAAAATACACACGAGATAAAAGTGTTTTTTTATTTTTTATTATAACTATATAAATGTGCATTTATATTTCAGATACAAAATGGAAACAGCGATTATCTGAAGTGGATCGGTGAAATAATACCGCCACTCGATCAAAATGCTCAAGAAAAACAAAGTGTATGAATGTAACTCAATAATTTTGAGAAAAGTTACTAAGCTTCTATTTCTTCCTAAAGCTATAATCTAAAGTATAATGATTAAAACAGTATAATAAATAAATACCCAATATATGTGTGTACAGAGAAATTTCACACCAAACACATGGTCTTCACTTACAATATTTATGATTGTGCGTACGTCTGTAGAAAATCAATATTAAATAATGATCAGTCAATCAAAATTTCTATGTTGTACACCATCCCTTATAATAAAATTGGTTCTGCGAGAAAGCTTCGTATAATAAAATCGTCGATAGTAATAATCAACTGCTTGCACAGAAAAATGCTCACAGAGATAGAAGCTTTTCTTCCTCTTGCGGAATCGAATTTATAAAGGCTGACGCACATTACAAACATTTACGCATAACAATTTTAACAGTTGCATTAAAATACATAATATAAATATAAATTAAACTTAATATAAATATATATATATGTGTAAAAGTAAGGCACATCTCAATATCCTCTGTCTTTCTTTTTCCGTGTCAAAGTTTCAACAAACATATAAGTACTTTTTCTAATTTTCATAAAACATTTGATTGTACTAACTCAGATTGATTTATTATTATACACTGCGTACAACTGTTGCTGTCCAGCACTAATGTTTGAAAGTTTGGACGGCAAAACTATTTTTCCTCTTACAGTTTGCGAAACAGCTGCGTGCGCAGTGTTTATTATATATACTGATGTGTATTATATATCCTGATTAAATTTATGCGGCCAAAAGAGTAAATAATTTAATTATTACTTTTTCTAAAACAAATTGTTAAAAATAAAATTCCATTAATTTTTATTTATCTCTCCAAGCAACCCACTCCTGTCCTTTTAGATTATGATATCATAAATGTAATAAGTCTTTTCTTGCAACACTTGGATAAGATAAAAGTTAAATCGCTAAATTTGATAAATTACTGTATTTGGTATTGCAAATCTGAGGTGCCGGAGTGCTCTTTATTTATCTTATAAAATTTCTATATTTGATCAACGCGCTCAGCTTTATTTGTTCGGATTTACACCTCTCTCAGTTTTGCAATGCCAGCTAGTAGTTTAAGACAATTTTCTATAAACGCGCACATAGAACAACCACTTTATATTTGTTGTTGACTGATTAAAAAAGCGCATTGTGGTATATATCGTTGTACATACATTGAATTAAACGTGATCAAAGAATCAGAAAAATAGACGATATGTTTGATTTCGATTTAAAATGATTCTATGTGTGTATAGCTAACTAATAAAATAATACGTACACATATATATGTATATCCCTATTCCTTTTAAAAACTGACAACAATGTTAGTTTTATTATATTAAAAAAAAACCAAGTTTTTTGCTAATATAAAATGTACCCATCAAACACCATGTCGCCAGATTGGAAGCAAATTTGTTTTCAACAGATTTTGCTATTAGGGATATTAAATATATATTTTTATTCGTTTTCTATACCAATTTCAAATAATAAAAGAAAATCAATCGCGCAAAACTTACGAATTCTTATCAGTTTTACGCTCTAAAACCTAGATCTAGACAAAAACAAAGAGAATTTTGCAATTTATGCTAATAAATAATAAACAATAATTGAAAAAAAAATGGTATTGGCAAACGAAATTGATATTAACTTCTTCCGTTCTCATAGCCTGGGTAAAGTTTTAATAATATCGCTCTCAATTTTTCATTAATTAGTACTTCGTACTCTTTACCTAAATAATAGCGACATGTGGGACAAGAATATAGCTCGTGGGAATTAAAAGTCTGTATTAAGCATGTCAAACAAATATTGTGTACGCAAGGAAGAGTTACTGGTTGACAAACGATATCCAAACAGCAAGGACAGTTAAATCTGCAAATTTGATACATTACATTATGTAAAGTAATCAATGTAATTAAAAAAAAAAAAAAAAAGAAATTTATATTATTCTAAGTATACTTAAACTTACCTGTCTATAACACATTTTTGAAAAGCGAGTTTTCCATCAGACAATGCCGCCATACAGTCAGCCCACACTTTAGCATTCTGTTTATCATTGTTTATTAAATTCTCCAATTCTTTTTCCAAAGTGTAGGTTTTTTTCAATTTTTTTAAAGGCGGCTGAATTTTCGAGATGTCATTTAGTTTATATCCTTCGGGATATTCCAGTTCTAAACCGAGTGATGCAATCCTCGCTCTTCCTTCTTCAGTCCAAGGCGCAGGAGTTGAATCGTCTCTTCTTATTATATACTTCCACATAATCAAACCATCTTTATTCTTCTTTGGAAAATATTTTACTACTTTATATATACCGTCGTATCTGAAAAATAAGATTATAAATAAAAACAAAAAAAGATAATATTATATAAATATATATATCCATAAAATAAGAAACAATATATCTGATGTACCTATAACCTTCCTTTGGTGCAAATTTGTTTCCTAATTTAGAACTGCGCACTACTCGGAGTGGTATACCTCCCTTCCAATTCTTGGCTGTAGCACCACTTGTGTTGAAAGGAGCGTTACAATTTAAAGCCAGTGCCCTGTTCATTTTAGTTAATTGCTGATCTTTACTTTGCTTGGCAGTCCTCTTGTTACCTAAATCGACTTATGTGAGTCACACTTTTCTAAACTTGACTTGATTTATTATACAATACCTGATAAATCTCTGCCGCCAGATCCAGTATATTGAAACTCGTCGCCTATGTCGTAATCGCTGCCGTCATAAAGACCTGATACAACAATAGAATATGCGCAGTCGTTTTCTCGTCCATGAATGCCACCTATTTGTGATCTGTGTACTCCCATCTCCAAGACCTGTTTATTAATATTTGGTTTTTTGTTTTAATATTTATATAACTGATTAGATGTGTGTGAGAACAACTAGATGAAATGTTAAAAAAAACTCACTTGAAATCTATAATACCAATTTGTACCAACTTCTATACCAGGAATTGGACCACGATGAGTTTTAGGAACAATAGTGCATTTATTTCTTGCACCAACACAAGCCATGCCATTTCCCCAATCTCTTTTGTTTTTTTCTTTTTTATCTTGTTCAATAGGTCTCTTTCTTGAGCCTTTTAGTTTATCACCTGGCTAATATGAAAAATTACACTTTTTCTATATCTTCTACCATTTAGCAGTTATTTTTAATGTTATTTTTAATTTATCTTGAGACATCTTAGATATGTGGGTTACCTTAATAATTTCAGTTTCATCATTTTTGCATTCAGGACAAAACCATTCATCTTCCTCTGGAACTTTCACTAATGGTGGTTTCAAACATTCCAAGTGATATCCATATTGACACTCATCACATATTAATATACGATCTTCATTTTGTTTTCCAGCACACACTTTGCAACCGCATTCTGAACATTTTCTACGAGGATTATCCATACAGTTTTGACAAGCAGGAACAACAGGTCTACGTGTACCATTACTGATCATAAATTTTTCATCTTCTGTAGTTCTCTCAGTCAACAACTTAGGTTTTTCTATTATATAGATGTTTCCTTTAGGTATGATATTGTCCATTTCAAGTTGATCACTGATTTAAAAAAAATAAAAACACAAAAATGGAGGATGCAACAGAAAGATGAATACAGAAAAAAATTGTTTTTATATAATATATGTATCCCTCGCAAACAATCAAACAGAACAGTGATAAAATCCAAAAACCATGTAAAAAATACATACTTTTCCATGTGAAATATTCCAGTTAATTTTCCATCTTGCTTTATTTCAGTTACTGTGAAGTCATACCACAATCCAATATCTTCTGGCTCTTCCATATTATAATTGATCATTACTTTCTGACCAATGGATAATTTACTAACTTGTATTTTATGCCTAGCGCGAGGCCGTATATATGTTTCAGGTACAATAAAAGGAATAGCTTCGTTATCAAACTCCCACAACACATTATAAAGAATTTCCTCTCCTTCTTTTAAAATTTTTTGTATAGTAGCTTCAAACCAGACACTATGCTCTTTGTCAAGACAGTCTATAGCGTCATTAACTTTATAATACAAACTTTCTGCATTCTCTTCAACTTTTTTTGGCGTCACTTGTTTCTTTAATGGCTGTTCTTTTATTACTTGTTCTTCTACTAATTTTTTTTGTAATTTAGATTTGCTTGTCTTTTTCTGTTTTTCTACAATTTTACTAGATGTTGTTGGTTCATTCTCTATATCGGTTATTCTTTTCAAAAGCTGTATGACATCATTCAACTTGATGTTATAATCATAAATTGTATAACAATCTTCTAACTGTTTGCCGCCAAAAAATAGCCTTTGCAGATCTGTTTTGACATGCATTTCTTTTTCGATTTCATGCTAAGAATCAAAGATCACATAATCATTGAAACACAGTTGTAATAAAATAGATAAAAATTATTTTACATCTATATATTTAATGTGTATAAGTACAAATATCTTATATTTCATTACACACGTACTATATATAAAATTATAACATGCAAACTCATTATAACACGTAGGCTTTTGCTCGAAATTTTTCTTATCTAACAGCTTACCTTTAAATCTCCTATTGTAGCTGTTTTGGAAATTGATATTAGCGTTTCCTCTTTTCCGTCTACTGTTCTCACTCTTACGTACATGATTGTAACTCTTCTCGACTCTCCGCTATAAATCAGAGATGTACAGACAGAAGACGGTTTGGCGGTTTTTAAAAGCAACGTTTATATTTGTCAGGTTTGGTTTGGTGTAGTTTTGTATAAAATACTGGTTAAAAAGCTGATTTCACTATCTCCTATTGCTTTTTTAATTGGCCAATCATTTCATTAGAATTGGCCACTCGTATTACTCGTCTAGCAGAATTAACCAATCATAATCGATATTTAATCAGCAAGTTAACCGAAGTTGGCGAAACGGCCCTAGAATTTGTATCAGTGCATGTGTAAAATTTCCCTAAGATCTTTCTGTCGCTACTGGCTCGTTTATGTTTCTCTTTTCTGTCACTTATACAACTGAGGCACTGTTAATATCTATTACAGCAGAAAAATACTGACTGTAATAGTCTATGAATATTTATTCACAACTACACCAAACTCAGCCGTAAAGCACCATAAAGTGCAGTGGGGGTGGAAAAATGTGTCAAACAATTGTCAAATATTTACATATGTACGTGTTAGCTGAATCGGAAGAAATAATATAATAAATATAAAATGGCTGAGAATGAAGTAGTATCCGATAGCGATGAATGTCTTGTTACAGAAGCCATTAATTTAGATATTGAAGAGGTATTCATATATTTTAACACACACATATACAAACAATTATGCATGCAACATAAGATTTCTCTCTCTCTTTCTATACATATATAAAATTAAAAAATAATAAAATTTTCTTAAATTGTATAAATATATTATCAAATAAATTCTTTTCATGTTATTTGCTTTTTTATTGTATATTAGTTATAAAAGATATATTATTATTTATACAGCATAGTTGTAATATGTACTAAAGTTTACTAAAAAAAAAAAAAAAAAAAGGATATAACAGTACTTTCACGTCACTATAATTGTTTTTCAGTTAGATAACACAGAATATGCAATACCAACATTGAATGAATTACCTACTTTAGAAAGTATATTAATGGAACCTGATTATGAGTCGCTATCAGATACAGATGATGATATTGGTATATCAGTAGGAGAAAAACTTGGTAGTAGTGAGACAACTAGCATTAGCAGTCACTTATCATTAAATTCATTAAATAAGTCTTCCAAAACTTATCAGAAAGCATCTCTGGGTATTATTTTAAGGCATGTTATACTCAAAGGAATAACATCACAAATTGTATCGGCTAGTGTAAGCAATTGTATTTTGTTTATTCTATATAAAAAAATACACTTACTACATTTTGAAAGACATAATTTTTCAAATTACATGTTTTTAATAATCTTATCAAATATATACATATATTTGTATTTTTTATACGAATATAAAAACATACATACATATATAAACTATACCTATTTAGGAAAGAGTCAATGCTGGTTTAGCTAGTGCGGTTGCAGCTGGAGGTAACATGTTAGTGATTGGTACCAGTCATGGTTTGATATTGGGCTTTGATTCTTCACAAACATTACGTTGGTGTGATCAAGAAGCAAGACACCAAGGTTCAGTTTCTGCTCTTTGTTTTAATCATGAGGGCAGTAGAATACTGGCTGGTTTTGTTAGAGGACATATCTTGATGATAGATAGCAGTAATGGAAAAGTTTTACGAGTTCTTACAGATGTACATCCACTTGACACTGCTGTGTTACATGTTAAGGTATAGTTATTTTTTTTAATCAGGATACATATATTAGTTTAATATTTTAGAAAATTGTCTGGTTAATTAGCCATCTAAACTTGAGTGGAATTTTAGTTCACAGATTCACCAAAAATAGCTCTATGTAGCGATAGTGGCGGCTCAGTGTTTGAATTGAATTTTACTAGAGTAATGGGTGTAAGAGGTTGTGACAGTAGATGTTTGTTTAGCGGTTCCAAGGGCGAAGTGTGCACTCTAGAGCCTTTGTTACTGAATCATTTGCCGTCACATCCATTAAAAAATTATACTTTAATAGCAATGGCAACATTATCAAAGGTTTTGTTGTTTTCTTAAGCAAACAAATTAAAAATTATTGTAATTAATGCTTAGATATATTTATAACTCTATTTTTACTCCGTATAGGTAATTGTTGTTTGCATAAAACCACGAATGCGAGTTGTATTGAGTCATCCGTTAACTGGCTCCCCGACAGCGGCACCGCAACTATCTTGGCAGTTGGTTGTTATACAGACAGCTGACGGATCTCGCGTGATCGATCCGGTATTAGCGCTCGCGCGAGACAACGTGGTGCATTTTTACCAAGTATTGCCATGATAATATAATTGCGTTATATATCTTGTTTACTAAACGCGTTGAATGCCGAGCTATAACTTTTAACTATTAAAAACATAAGATGATTGATTATTGAATTAGATAATATCGCACACTTTTTAAAGAAAGAGAGACGAGTCTGACATAGAAACGCATTCAGTCGAGAAATATATCATGGTTTATTTGTTGCACACAAAATTCTTTTTATTAATTTAGATGTCGCCGAAGTTATCTCTACTACCGTGACTCTCCCTACCTACGGCATTCAACGTGTGAAGAATATTTACCAAATTAAAGAATATTGTCTATTGACACAAGGTATACACCGAAGGTGGTTCGCGGGTAAAGTTGTCTCCTCTTCGGAGAATGACGCTACCGTACACGATAAGCAACTTGAGATGGTTAAATCCAAGATCTCTTATAATACTAGATGCTCAAGAAAAGTTACATTTGTTGGATGTAAGAGCGCAGGATAATTTGGAGACGCTGGATATGAGTTATGTTGGTATTTCTTATGCCTCTAGTCACTTTAAAGGATTGTCCACCGGTGGAAACGTTTCGAAGGTGCGAAAAGCGTTGTGACGCAGATGAAGAGAATATTTTATGTCATTTGAGATCGTATACATGAGAAATATGTATTTTGTGTACAGGCAATGGCGTTGGCCGGTGAACGAGCGTGCTACAACACTGTCGTAGTTTTCGGTACGCAGCTATTGTTACTAGGTACAAAGAGTTTACATGTCATTTGTATAAGAACATGGACGGAGAGATTGCAACATTTGGTTGCACAGGTTCGTGTTTGACAGTAGAATCTAAAACGCTCAACAAAAAAGTTATCAAGACTTCTTTACTGTTTTCTTCTCGTCACTATTTCCGTTTTTTCGCAGTTAAGGAAAAAACTTGATATGTTTTTTCGTCACAAGAGGGGTATTTTTTCTAAACCGCGAGAAACAAAAACAACGACAATAAGAAGACTCTAATGAAGTTAAGATAATAACACCGGATATTTTACTGTTAAAAAGATAGAGAATATTTTTGCAATTTGGAGTAGATATGTAATTGTTTTGTTACACATTTTAGAAACGTTTTCCCGAAGCGTTAGCATTGGGTCTTTCTTTTTATCGAGACAAGGGAAAGGCTGTTATCGGTCTTCGAGGTTCCAAGCAACGTCGCAGTCAAATCGCGCGTGAAAAGGTTTGCGAAATTCTGACGCAGTATATGGACGAATTGAATCAGTGTTTGATAGAGGAAAATACGGACTACAATACGATAGTGCTCACTTGCGTCGATTACTGTATTCAATTGGATTATTTCGATCTACTGTTTGGGAAATTATGGGATATGGTTTTTGAATCTGAAAAATTAAAAACGAGTTATTTACACGCACTCGAAGCTCCTTTGTTGGATGGAAGCCTTCCACCGAGACTGCCACCGTTAATCGCCCAACAATTGGTTACTCTGTATAATCAGGAAAATAAGGTAGAATCATTGGAAGCAATTGCGGTTCTACTCAATGTGGATTGTTTAGATATTCATCAAGTAAGTTAAGTGCTTGATTTGCTGGCATATGCAGAATTTTATATGCAGGGCTGAACTCTGAATTGTCATAGGTAACGACAATTTGTCGTCAACGAGGACTTTGGGAAGCGCTGATTTATCTACAGACTACGGCGCTTGGCGACTTTACAGCGCCAATACATCAATTAATGCCGATACTTCAAAACTTATTGCGCGATTCGACAGCTGTTCTTTCTCGAGACTGCATAAAACTCGGCAACGCCATCCTAGTTTACACTAGTTGTTGTCTAGCTGGCCGTGGATTTCCCAAGGATGAGCTTCCCGAGGATATGCGACAAAAAGCGAAAGCAGACATAATGAGAGCTTTGCTCTCTCAACATTCCAGTTTAGCGAACGACATGGAAAGGCAATATCCGTACTTGAGAACGTTGCTGCAATTTGACGCAAAGGGCTTTCTCGATGTTGTGGCCATTGCCTTTCAGGAGCCAGAATTTACATCCGAAATGGGCCTGCGACATCGACAGAGACTCATAGATATTTTGTTGAGCATTGTTATGCCAAGTACGCCACTTAGTCCGAAGAGTAACGATTATATCACGAACGAACAACAATTTATGGTGCTTGTGTTCGTGGCAAATGAAGTATCTGAAAGTACTGTTACCCTGGAATCTAATACGTTAAATAAAATGGTAGATATGTTGTGCGTAGATTCACAGATGGAATCGTTGAAAAATTTTAAAACCGAGAGAGAAAATGCTATATTAGGATTATTGAATTCTAAAAAGTTATGTAATATTTCCGATAACACCTTACTAAGTTTAACAAATAGAGCGGGTTTGTAAGTATTTTTTTTTTTTTTCACACTTTTGTTTGCAATATTTTACATTCTTTTGCGATTGCCGCGGTTACACATAACACATACATTTATATCGCACGTTATTATTACGATAGTTTGTTGTTGCAGTGTGAGAGTTGCGGAGTTGCTGTACAGCGCGCGAGAGGATTGGATAGCGGTGTGTAAATGTATGATCTTAGAGCCATCCAGAAATCACGACATTTGGCCTTGGCTCGAGAGCTTGTCAATCGCTTCGGTGGACCAAGTTGTATTGGCTCACGCATCGACCCTCATGACAATCAACGCGAATCAGTTTGCCACGATCGTCGCAACGCGACTGCACAGCAAAATTGATGCGATATTACAAAGTTTCAATAATAATAGAAGCTTGCAATATAAACTGCTGGGAGCGTTGTATCGAATTGCGCAGGATAAAGAAGATGATATTTCTCTGGATTTAACTACCGAACACTTGGAGAGATATTTGGCACTGATGTGCGAATTAGAACCGGAACGTGTTGTTGCTCATTTGCACGGGCCGCATGGATGTAGATTGGACGAGGCATTGAAGATCGTTCGAAAATACAATTGCAAGAGCGCAGAGGCGGTAATGTTGGAAAAGTTGGGTAGTTATCAAGATGCATTTAATCTCCTTCTGAAAGAATTTGAGCAACAAGTGACGATGTATCGACAAGGTGATGTTTCGGAAAATGAATCGATATACGCTGCCATGCAGCTTGCAGGATTATGTCGAAGGTCGGCGGGAAATCTGGACTGGATGGCTCTTGTAGAAGCCGTGTTTCGATCGCATTCGGAAAACAGTACGGAGAAGGCGGACAAATTGAGCAATAAATTGTTAAGACTAATTCTCGAATCTCTGAGCGGTATGTCTGTTCTGTCAAATATACTCGAGCAGATCTTGAAAAATCCATTAGCAATGAGCGGCACGATGGGTGATTTGCGGCAGTTGCTGTCCGGAGTCCTCACTCAATCGCGATACGAGCAAACCCTAGTCGAAACTACCGCTCGATTAACAAGTTTAGATCTTCACAAGACTTTGAAAACATCCTTGAGGTACGCGAAACAAATGTATATATAATACATATGAGATTTAATATTAAGATTCTTTTATTAGATCAGAAAATTCGTGAGATTTATGAGAAATCCGTCTTTTAATTGAGCATTAACTAAAGGCACGGGTTGTATCGATGCGCTTTAGCATATATCGATTCTCTGCCAATCATCGTAAAATAAATCTCACAAACCGCATATCATAGCTGATATTAATAATTTTCATGTGTACATAACGCAATTAGGAACATGTATATATTTTGCCGCTCTCAGGGATGCTGGCAGAGCATGCGGCAACATTTCCATAAATTGTTGCGTGTGCAGACAACCATTGTCACACTGTAGCGATTATGTGGTGGTGTACAGCTGCGGTCACGGGTATCATTCGATGTGTATAGGTGAACCTAAGTCGTGTTACAAATGCATCAACATGAAGGGATGGGCGCCTATTGTAACTAATGTCGCGCACGTCGTCCATCAACCTCCGCCGGTTAGTTGTAAAGAAATTGCTTATTATGTTGTTGCCTTTATTCCTCCGCCAGCAAACTCAGGCTCATTTTTAACCCATGGATTTTTTACTTTTCACTACTAGACACATGTTAAAAAATAAAAACGTTTTTGCAAAATTAGAATTTGCGTAGAAGATCAATGACCTTGAGTTCGCGTTTGCGTCAGAGGATTCCATATGGAATTTTTTGCACCACTCTCTCCTACATTTGTTTTACAGAGAAAGAGACAGCTTTTTCCGCCAGAATTTCTACGCCATAAAGATGTCACATTAAGACTGGCACCACCTTGTTCTATACCTGACCTCGAGGGCATCCTTTAATCTAGTCTTTGACTATCGAGAGAAAATGATGATCGTTTGTAAGCGGTATGTAGTATTTTTGAGATATATTAAGAGAGAGATAAGTGTGTGTGTTTGTATGCATATACACACACGATATATTTCTATGTTAGATCTTGATATTACAATTTGTTTATTTTTGCGCAATGCATTATGTAATAACTCGATGTAAGCTCTATCTTTGAGATTTTAGTTGTTGACCTGCACTGATGTTTATGATACATTGCCAAATACAAATTATTTACTGAGAAATACCAAGTATCATTATTGTTTATACACAATGTATATCATGTTTTATTGCTTTTCTTCATATTTTTACATTACTCACTTAAACGCGAGACATGTGATTTTGCACATCTTCTATGCCGTTTCCATGGTTGGTGTCAGTGAAATATCTTCCTATTTTGGGTTTGGTTTTAATGATAAATACTGGTTTTTTCGGTGCATTGTCCGTTAGTACGCGATGTGGATCTACAAATTCACTGCCCAATAATTCACCAGTGAGAAGTTTTGCCACATTTATGAGAACATCCAATTCTGAACGATTGGATTTGTTAATTGGTAACAGTGTGATAGTAGAAACATATGTGTCTATGGTAGATTCTAACTTCATAAGAAATGGAATCAACTTTGATATAGCTAAATAATGTTGTAACTGTAAAATAAAAGAGAAATTAATTTACATGAAATACTTAAAAAAATTTCTATATAAATATGTATGAGTGGTAAGCCTGCATATATGAATTTTAATAAGTTTGTTTACACATTTAAAATTGTGCATAAGTACATGCCTCGTCATCACATCGTTCTAGATTGGTCAATAGATTCTCTATTTCATTTAGCAAAGTATAACATCTAGCAAGTTGCTCACAGTTGTCTGCAACATATTTGCTTTCATAAATGTGCAATGACTCTCTTATTAAAGACTTTTCTTTCTTTATTTTATCGAGAAGCAACGATAAGGGTACTCCTGATTGTACACGACTACTCATTTGAATCTTGGAATATCTTCTACAGACCTGTGTGTTGATTCAGTGAAATACTTGTACAAACACAAATACATAAAGAAAGTAAACACACGAAACCTTTACCTGCTTTTTGACAGAAGTCCACAAAATGTCAATCTCATTTATAAATTGTTTGAGGTCATTATTGCAAGTATAACTTTTAGATAAATACAATAATGATTGGAGTTTATCTGTTACCGTGCACGACAGTTTACCAAACCACTCGAGTTTGTCACGAAATTTAAGAGTGACGTTGAAACTTTCGGTTTTGAGAATGCTTACCTGTTAAAAAATAAAAAAATATTACAATATGACGTATGCGTACGTAATATATACTTACCATCATTATTCCACTAATAAAAAGCTAAATGTAACACACACACACATGTGTATGTGAAGTTTCACAATAATATTTACTTACGGTTTTCTCAAGAATTCGTGTGATTTCACAAATTGAAGTGACATTTGTCGCCATAACAATATTCTCATAAGTTATTTCGAGTATAAATGTAGTTCCTTTGCGTCGAACTGACTGCAATAAAATAAATGCATTTCCAAAGCCAACACGCGATAGTCTTATTTTTCCAAATGGTAGATACACGTACATTTCTTTATTAAATGTTTATGTGGCTACAATAACCTTTCATAAATATAATATAAAAGACTTCCGGCCGATTTTCTCATCTCACTTTTGTTGATAAATGTTCCACTATATGTTATTAGTTCACATCACACGTACCATAAATTGGTAAAGAAATAAACGAACGCATTTATTGCGACAAAAATGAGATGAGAATGCAGACCATTATTTTCTTCTCTTTTTTTCTTTACATAAATCTGGCGTTATTAATTCTTTATAAGCACTTCTGTGTGTGTGTGTGTGTATGTGTGTGTGTATGTATGTATGTGTGCTCACATATCATCATCTAATGTACATACAATTAGTATATCTAGAATATTATTAATATTATTACTAGTAACATATTCTTTTAACTCCTACACTGTAGGAGTTCCTACGCATTAGTTATTTTTATTTATTTAATTATAGATGCATAACGAGCTTATCTTAATAATCGCAGTAAAAACATTTCACACTTGCTGTCAGAGAGAGAACATGAGTAAATGAGTGAGTGAGAAAGAGAAAGAGAGAGAAAATAAATAAAGATAAATCAATAATTATAGTCTGTAATGTTATTTTTAGAGAAAAGGAAGAGTTGGAAGAGATTTATTAAAAAAAGGGCGCAAAATGGATTACACATAATTTAAATACAACAAATTAGAAACAGGAGTTAATATACAGCCGAACCTTCTGTTCTCGATAAGTTGGGATTAAACTCGCTCTCTCTCTTTCTTTTTCCAATTAATGGCTATAGAGAACAAGATTAGAATTTTATCAAACATAGAAAGAGCAAGAATATGAAAGAGTATAAAAAAGTTTAACTATAATTTTATACGTAATACTAATCAGCATTGGCTTTTATTAGTCCCTTTTTTAAACTTTGTTTTAATCTTCTAGAGCTCATAAGCAAATTTGTTTTTATAAAGTTGAAGTATACAGAGTATTTCCGGAACATCAAAGATACGATGATTTTTCGTGCAAATAAAAAAAACTTGTAGTTGAAAATACAGAATAAAATAAAAATTTTGTAGAAGTTTTTGTTTTGTAAAAAACTAGTTGAAACATATTGAAAATAACATGTTTACATTTACGTTAACAAATAAAAAAATTTAGAGTCGATTTTATCATCTCTGATTAAACTAGAGAGTCGACTGATTAATTGTCAAGTGATTAGACAATTCTATTAAACGATTAATATGTCAATTCCAACTATAATCGATCAAGTTAATCAGAGACCGTCCCTCAATCATCGTTTTGTGATTGGCCTATTCTAGATTTATTGATGATATAAAACTATATACCAATTACAGGCAGCAATCATTGAGCAATAGTTATTACATCATTTAAACGTAAAAAACTGTAAATATGTTTTCAAGATTTAAACTTCAAATTTTTTAGAAAGCGCGAAAAATCTTGTACAAAGAAAATTTTATTCTACATTTTCGACTTATATACATATATATAATCAGTATCTTTCTCTTTACAGTTGTATCTTTCGATTCAAGTGAGAATTAGGTGAGAACATCATAAGTATTTTAAATATTCTTAAAAATAAAAATAATATAAACTTCTTTACATGACTTAAGTATAACATTTAGAAATTTATTACAAAAACAAGTGTTTGATATATTGCAACAAAGATCATTTATCAACATGTATTATTGACAAAACTTATTGTGCTATTTCGTTACACTTGTATAAAAGAATAAAGTATAATAAAAACAAAGTGTATACACATATATATATATACATATATATACTTATATATATATACATATATATATATATATATGTATATGTATGTATGTGTATATATATGATTTCCTGGATTTAATGCTTTAATGTAATTTGAAAATAACTTGGAGCCAGAATTAGTTGTATATATATTTGCTTTTTTATTCATTTATTTTAGAAGCTTATTACTTATGCCCATAATTCTGCAAGCAAGCTATTTAACCACTTGCGGTGCAAAGACGTGCCACGCACGTCGAGATGCTTCTGTTACCGGAACGCCAGCGACGTGTTACACACGTCGTCAGGCGATTGTTGCAGAAAAGAAAATGACGTGCATGTCACGTCAACTGTGACGCATTTATTTATTAATAAATAAGATTAGTATTCATACATATGTAATTTTATCATCAGTTGATGCGTCTTTATTTTATTCTCTTCTGGAACCCCCTGAACGCTGCCTGAACGCGCTCCGAAGTGATTTGCACTCGACTGTTCTGGCACGCGCGACCGTAAATTTCTTTGCACCGCAAGTGGTTAAATAACAAGTATATTAAGATTTTTAAGTCAGTTTATATTTACTGGCATTGATACCTTTGCATTTTTAAAGTCAATAATAGTGGTAATTATTACGCATCTCGAAACTATAGTCAGTTCTTCTTATCGTGTAATTAAAAAGAAAAGTAGAATTTCTATAACAATCCACGTTGAACACAAATTGGTACAATTGGTGATACTTGTCTTCCATGGGGATCACTTATACACACAAATGTGTACCAAACATTTACGTGAAGGCAGAAAATACCACAAGGAACGTATAAAATGATTTTTTGAATTGTGTGTGTGTGTACGTTTGTATATATGTGTAAATAATCACCTGTCGAACCCTACAGTTTATTGTGACAATTTTTACACTTGACAGTTTATTCCCAATTTAATACTGAGAAACTGTATCTATAGCGAATAAGAATGGATTATACAGTCTATTAAAATCTCGTTCGCTCTTTTTCTCTCTCTTTCTCTTTCTCTCTCTCTCTCTCTCTCTCTTTCTCTTTCTTTCTCTCTTTGAATATGTTTCTATTCATTCTCGTCTAACGTTCACACTGTCGACAATTGCGAAAGTGAGCGTAAGTATGACATTTATGTATATCTATAACGATATTTATTATTACAATATGACTGTCTATAACTCCCATGCCGCGAACGCGCATAGGTGGTATTATAGTAACGTCTTCGATTATGACTGTTATTAACTGACGATCGATTTACTAATCGACGTTCAAAACAGGGTTTGTTTTGATACTCTTGGAATGGATTATAAATCGTAGATCTTTCTTCGTAAGATCGACGATTTGTGTGATCCTTGACTTTCTTCGTTCGACCTTTGTCCATTTCTTCGTCATCTGCGTTAAAATGGCGTTTACGTTCTTCTCGTCTTTCATTATCGACATCTCGGTCAAGCTGCGTTTTACTGCCATTCCAATTCGTTACTGAAGATTTAGAAGACATTATAACTATTGTATGTATATGTTTGTATCACTATTGTATGTATATGTTTTACATATGTATATATAAATAAAATTTTTAAAAAATATATTATTAAATACACTTAATTATACTAACCTGAAGAACTCGCGTATCCTCGATTTGTCATTTTCAACAAATATGAAACAGTGTCCGAGCGATTGGTGCCGTTAAAATCTCGCACATCCGCAGCACTCAGTGTTGCATTATTTTGATTTAGCTTTGTATCCTCCCTAAAAAACAAAACAAAAAAGCATAAATTATCTCACATGTCAAAAAGTATGTATAAAGTGAATATATATGTGAACATATTTACTTGACATCGGAAAGACTCCAACCGTTGGTCGCTACTCCAGAAAACGCGGAAGACGTATCTTTAGAAACTTGCCAGGTCTTAGCACTGGCTTTTGTAGACACATTCTCTTCTTGTACATCCTTAGCTCTTATACACTGGACGCGCCATGTATTCTTGTCTCGTTCCGACTGACTTTTCATTTCTAATTTCCCATTTTGATGCTTCGGCAAGCTTACTCGGCCGTTAGTATTAGATCCATTCTGTGATTTTGTACATTGTGTAACCGTGGCTTGCGTTGTAACAGCTGATACGCCGTTAGTATTGATCTTGATGTTGGTTCTCTCTTTACAATTAATAATAGGTTTTGATGCATCCTTCAAAAGAGAAGAGTTTGGCACACCATTCGTAGCATTAATTCGAACTAAAGCATTTGACGTTTGATTTTTCAAACTCCCTGTCCCGGAGGGATAACTGTCTTCCTCTTCACTAGAATCGTAGGGCACCAAGCTATTTCCGTTTGAAATCTTTCCATTCTTAATATACGACTTATCGTGTATCTTTTGTGGTAAATGATTAACAGTGAATTTTTCTAGAGGAAGGCTTAATTCTATACTTTTTTGCTGTGGCAGCTGTGGACCAATTAGTGTTGGTTTACTCGAATCATTGTTAATATCATTTGACAGTTCGTTTAACGATCCGTTCACGGAACATCCAGCGGACGCTTTGGATCCGAGAGATTTGTTTGTAGAACTGGACAGAGCCGTCGATATGTTCATTGCGGACGCCGTGCCGTTTAGTTTTGTAGTCTGTTGATTCTGACTATTATTCTCCATTTCAAAAATCATAATATACGCGTGTATATTTAACACATTATTAAGAGTTATTGGACGAACATACGAGTCATCAAAGGAATAATATTGACCACTTGACACTTGTGCAACTGCAGTGTAATGGCCACAATTTGGAGAAGGACCCATGTGGGTTACAATAGACACGAGTTTATATGTGAGTTGTTTCGAAGATTCTCCGAATTCTCTCCACAAGTACGGACCCATATCTATGGTTGGCTTAAAACCAATATGTTTAGATATTTTTCCTCCTAAAACGCTAAATCGTTTCAATTGCACACACAACACTTTTGGTGGGCGTTCTAGAGTGAATTGTTTCGTGGCAGGCACTCTTCTCTTACAGGCTTCACATTTGTAATCGTTGTTATCTAATTGTTCTCTACTGAAGTAACTATTTAATGCTTCGTCCAATGTATTTGCCTTGCGTATATCCACAAGCAAATCCTAAGGAACATAGAACACATATAGAATTAGAAGATATTTGTGAGAATATTTATATAAAAACTTATATAAAAACCTTTGTTATCTTACTTGAAAATGTTGAAATGTAGTGGATACATGTTGACACTGTAGGCACTTGACTTCAGTACGAATGTAGCCACCAAATATTTGGTTAATAGGCGTTGTTTCTTTAGAATAGCTATCCAATTTAGTTGCTTTATGCCTAGACAAATACGCACGTTCCATTCCTTCCAATAAATAACGTAAAAATTCATGAGCATCCTCTTGTTGTCCAGGTACCATAGTTCTGCAAATAACTACAAATATTGCTTATTATAATTTGTATTCACACTTTTTATGCACACACACACACACACAATTTATTAATTTTAAATACATACATTTTAGTTTATTATATATATAAAATGGCTTGATTGCACTTCCAGATTTCTGATGGCTGAACTGTAGTGTCTTGGCCACTGCACATGTAAGACATTCTCCACCACCATCTAAAATTATCCTATTATCAAAACACCATGCAAAACTGTGTGTACATATCTTAAACATTTGAAATACATATATCTTGAATACATACATATGTATGCAATAAAAGATTAAAATATATAATTAAATTAAAAAAACTCACCGTTTTGTTCACATTTTGAATTATGATGTGAGTCAGACAGTAACCAATTGACAAGAGCCGGAACATGAAATAATGCTTGAAGTGTACTATTCAAATAACAAGTATTTCCAATATTTTGCATTCCTGCTCCTACTGGAAATGTGCCTTTCCATCCTAGATGGACTTTTTTGGGAGAATATAAAACAACAGCAGGTTCAGGTAGAACCGGTCCTTTCACATCATTCTTCTTTTTACTATTTGTGTTATCCTTTACTTTGTTTTTCTCAAAATTCTCAGGAGAGGATAAATTAAGAAAAATGTTGCAGTTAGCTTTCACCTGATTTGTCACCTGATAGTCTTTTAATTCTTCATAATGAATTTCTGTTTGCATAATTCGAGAAGCACTGCTGACTAATTCAAGTGAGAGATTATCTGTGTTTTTTGATGAACCACTATTGTTTAAAGCACAATGAAGCCTGGCTGCAATGGGATCACAAATGCTAACTGCAGGCATTTTCAGTGCTGTTTCAAATTCTTTATGATATTTTTATATCTACAAAAAATATAAAGCATAACATATTTTGAATATATATGAGTTTTATTACTGAAGGAAATGAGAATAAAAGAAAAAGAGAGAGAAAGAGAGAGTGAGTGAGAGAGAGAGAGAGAAAAATATATTGATCATATATATACATTCATATAATAGGAGCAGATGTGATAAAACGGTAATGGTAGATAATGCTTAGAGGGGAAGTTCTTGTTTACCTGCTTGACAATGTATATTAATTCTAGAGCGGCTGTGTGACGAAATATGCGAGAAACATTTGATGTAAATTTCTCGTGAATTGTGATTTACAGAACCGCGTGTAACTATCGATTCATCACAAGCGATGCGAAGCGGTTACTCGGTCCGACGCGGTTACCGGACGAAGCCGTTAAGCGCGTGTCTCTGTTACGACTACTTTTTCGCGTCACTTTTATTACTTATCTTAATTTTTCTGTTTCGCGCAACGTAAGAAATGTCAAGATTTGTGTCTCGCTTACACGCCGATCATCACATATCGATCATATCATCAAATGATTTCACATTTGCTCGTATTGGACACGCGGGAAAGGAAGTCATCCTTACATAGCATCACCAGAGAGGAATCAGAGAGCGGCCATCCCACTGTCTTTTCTTACGAGTTCTGGTTTCCGCTTAGTGCGCCATTACATCCACTTCGGTGAATGTAGAAACTATTTTGGCTACGTAGTTGCCAAAGTACACTACCATAGTCATAGCGCTGGCAAACGGGGGCTGCGTTCCGTTTTACGCATATGCGCGCATTTATCTATAGTACACGTCACGTATAGTATAGATAAATGCGCGCATATGCATGAAACGGAACGCAGCTAGGGAGAAGAGAAAAAACAACACGTGACTTTATCTTGGTTTGGTTTGGTGCATATATGGCTCAAAGGACCGGCTCAAGATAGTCCACATGACTTTATCTTAGTCACCTGTCCATGGACATTGCGCTGGTTTACAGGGCGGAAAAGCGATTACACATTATGGGCCTGGCCGCTCTCACAGTCAATTTTTTCACTTCTAGATAAGATTTTCGATAACTTTGGGTGCTTTCCAACTACGTACACAGGCGACACTGTGTAACACTGGTCTAGTTTCCACCGAAGCATTAATTTACACCAAATGCGACGTAGAATCAAATTCAAGTCGATGGAAACCTGTCAAATTGTGCTGATTTCACTTCCGCTTCGATCTATAAGTACTCTACTTCCAATGGAAACAGAGCACTAAATTTGATCAGTACCGGAGTGAAATTGAACCGAATTGAGGGTTTCGGTGGAAACTAGACCAGTGTCGCTTATGTATGTAGCTGCAAAGCATCCTATATACCCTATGTCATTTTGAGTGCGATTGCTCGAAGTCTTTACAGACGAAGTGCGCACATGGGCGCATGTAACTTTTTGTCAACATAAAATACACGTGTATACAATACAAATAGTAATAATATTACAAATCGAAATGTTTAAAAAGTCTCAAATGCAACCAAAAAGACGGCGAAAAATCACGCTTGTCTTTGATGAGGAAAAACGGCGGTAATTATTTTTACATATCAATTAGTTTTCTGTCAATATTATCTCTGCTGTAAATATATTACTCAAATGTTTATAGAGAATTTTTAGGAGGATTTCGTAAAAGAAAATTGGAGCGAAGGAGGAAAGCGCAGGAACAGTTGCAAAAACAATTGAAAGAAGAACGGAAGAAAATTAAGCAAGAAGTAAAAATTCTGTTATTTGAAAAAAAATGAAAAATATATATCTAGATATTCTTTAGGAAAACTCAAACATTATATATAAATACGTGCATTTTAACAGGCGCGAGAACGTTACGCAAAATCGTTATCGAGTCAAACTGTGCCAGAATTAGAAGAATTGTTGTCTCGTCATGAATACGAACGTGAGAATCACACAATTAGTATTTTGGAAGTAAATCTAGCCAATCTCAAAGAAGGAAGTAGATGGATAGGTGAAAACAAGATTGTGGAAGAAAAAGAAGAGGAAGAAGATAACACAAAAGAAAATTCTAAAAATGGCAATGATGTGATTGTGGGAATGTCGTTGGAAGAAGAACAGAAGGATTTAGAAGAGCAAGGATCAAAATCCGATAATCAACAGAAAAAATCTTTGAGAGAACTGAAACGAGAAATAAAGAAAACAGCACTAAAACGAGTTAAAAACAGCAAGGCATTTCAACAGAAACAGAGAATAGAAAAACATAAGAACAAAAAGAAAAGTAGACAGAAATTACAAAAGGCTGAAAAGTTATCTAGTAAAAATAAGAAACGGAATAAAAAGAAATAAGATACATGCGTTTTTATTTTATTCAATAAAAAATATAAAAAATATTGTACACATTTATATAAATATTTCACTTTTTTGTTTTTTTATCATTTTTTCCGGCAGATGGGCATATATCTTTGTTGAGGCATTCAGAGCATTTAGGGAATCGAGGTAGACAAGTTTCTTGACCAAATCCTACAAGGAGATGATTTACTTCAGTCCACAAGGGTTTAGGAAGCCACTCTTCCAGCAGAATTCTAGTTTCTTCTGGTGTTTTGGTTGTTTTTCTCAACCACTGTAATCTGTTGCAAATTCTATGAACATGTGTATCCACACCGATACCAGACACTTCTTTCCAAGCAACTTGCATACACAGATGAGCCATTTTAGGACCTACTCCTGGCAATTCACAAAGTTCCTGTACTGTTCTTGGAATATCACCATCATATTTATTTAAAAGAATGCCAGTTGTCTTTTTAATGTATTCCACTTTTTTCTAAAAACCAGAGATCAATATTTTTTATATATATTTAAATCTGACAAATACAATTTTTGGAATATAATATTCTAATAAAACAAGTATTTTAAAATATTTTTATGAGAAAAGTCGAATTTTCAATGTAATTGGTATAAGTATTTTATATCTGTACCTTCCAAAATCCAACTGGATATATAAGTTTGCCCAGAACATCATCTGGAGTAGCTGCTATTACATTTGGTTTACAACCGTGAGCGTTTAAACGCTGCATAGCAGCATGGGTGACCTGATCTTTGGTTTGACTACTTAACATTAAAGCTATTAGTGATTGATATCTGGATACCACTGGAGTGGTATCAGGATCTGAACATTTATGACAACCCATTTCATCAACTGGAGCAGTTTTATGTTTCCTCATTTCTCTGATGTTTTCTAGAACAATTTCCCAATTTGATGGTACCCATTGCTCATTTTTAACATTTGTTGAATCTGTTGCATTTTTATCTTTTATCTCAAGTTTCTCAGCTTTTATATCTTTTATATTATTTATGTCTGTTGATATTACTGGATTCTTAGTTTTTATCTCGACGGCAGAGTTCTTATTGATACTGTCATCGTTTGCCTCATTCCCGATTGTCTCATACTCGATCTTAATCGGTAAACGTTTTTTTGCGCCGGTTTTTATAGATCTTTTCTCCTCGGTGAAGAAAGGTGACGTTTTCTCTGATGAATCCGCATTAACAGTTTTTCCGGAACGCAAAGTTCTTGATGTTGAAAGAGCGCCTAGCTTCAATCTTTTACTCATTTTTTCACGCGTAACATGCTACAGTGCTGTTTATATTATATTTTTTATTTAACTAACAAGAAGAAACCGGTCGTGTGTTTACACGGTTTGGTACAAAAATGGCTCGGTAGACCGAGTTAAAGTTCGTCCATACGCCACTCTAGGAATTATAGAGCTGCGTTGCATTTCACGCATATGCGCGCATTTGTCTATACTATACGTGACGTGTACTATAGATAAATGCGCGCATATGCGTAACTCGGAACGCAACCTATATCTACATTATGGATGCGCACATGCGCATTGGGTGAATATTTTAGTACTCGAAGCTTAGAACTTGGAACATTGGGTGTGTTTAGCCGAAGTTAGCGCTACGTAGCGCTACGTAGCGGCTTCATGTAGCAGTTGCAATTGCTGCGTTACTTCTGCTGGACAGTATTGCTACGCGCAGCATGTTCTATAGAAGTAACGCAGCACTTGCAACTGCTACATGAAGCCGCTACGTAGCGCTACGTAGCGCTAACTTCGGCTAAACACACCCATTCATAGGTAGGAGCTATTGAAGTACGACATTGATAATCGCTGATACTTTGAGGTTTGAAATATGTGATACTTATATTGATTCCGTTATGTTACAAATTGTACATTCAAATAATAAAATAAGTAATTTGTAGCGAGGTATATCATCAATTTTTAAAAAATGCACGCATCTGCTAATTTTATTCTGCGTGGTGGTGACGCAGCGTTTGCCAATAGGCAAAAATCATTATTTGATCACCTCTCGGTCGCAGAAAGCAAATGCGTTAAACATGACAGATCTGAAGCAGATGATAGCATGGAGATGGACGAGAATGACAAGAGTCCAACTTCGAATAATGATCGGAAACGCAAGAGAGAAACTAAAAAATTTCGCGGAAAAGAAAGCATTTTCAAGCGACCCGAGGGTCCAGCACCGCGCACGAATGTGCGAAACATTCCGGATTACCACAAAAATCCACACAAATGGATAAAGTATAGTTTAGAAGATGTATCCAACGAGGATATGTCTGAATGCAGTAATACACAAGCTGCTATGTCGTTTCTGAGAGAATTAAAAGCACACAAGATAAAAGAAGCCGAAGATCAAGAGAAAATGGATGTTGATTCTTCTGAATCAGATTTGCAAGATTCAACGGAGACTCGATTTAAGACTAACGAACTTACATCAACATCAAAGATAATATTCAAGAAGCCACAAACAAAAGACGAAGCAGATAATTCTGAAGCAGCTACAAAGCCGGTATATAAAAATAATAAAATTATTATGCCAGAATATGTAGTTGGACAAAAACCAAAAAAGATCAGTAAACAGAATCGACATGTAGTCGAAGTTCAAAAGAACTCGGATTATCGTTCAAAAGAACTCAGATTGAATCATTTACACGAATCAGATGAAGAAGAAGAAGAAAACTCTAAATAATAAATAACTGTTTAATATGGTGTACATAGAAATTGTATACAAATGTATACAAGAGACATACTTGAGAGCTAGTTTTAAAATTCATAGATATTTGTATGTATTATATCCACACATATATATATATATATAAGTACTCTAAGTGATATGATGGGTCTATATAATTTATACCAATCTGCTTAACCGTATCTTCTCTTATTTGATGATTCTATGCGCTTACAAAACAATTTATATGTAAATAAAATTAAGTTTAATAATATTAAGTTAACCTTTGATAGATTGTTTTTTTTACCAATGTCAGAAAATGTCAGCTTCTTCCCGCCTTCGATCAAATACCGGAAGTAGATACCGGGTGAACTATGCGATTCAAGCGCGCTACATCATGTAACAATTGCATACACACGTGACCGGGACACAGGGTGTAGTTGTGTTTCTTGTCTCCTGTAGTATGAGAGATTGGCGGAGAAAATTCAAAATTACGCAGAAGTGAGAGACAACCATTCGAGAGCCGTTTGATATTCGTAAGTGTCTTAGAAAAAACGCTTGATTGCAATTGCCAGATCGGTTTACTCTCACAAATAGCGGGTGGGGGGGTAAGTCATAACCTCTTTATACAGCGCACCGCGTCGCTGCCCAACATGGCGTGCTCGACGTAGGAAACGGATCGAAGTTCGCGCCTTGTTTTCGTGCTGGAATTACGTAGCTCGTTCTTCTTGATTGTCTAAAGCACGTGTCTGTCATCTCGTTCACGTAACGAAATTACGGTTAACAAGTTATGTCGTTGCTCGCGCGGACGATATGAAGTAATAAGTTCTGTTTTGGGTTTCTTCGGTAATTTTTTTTTTTTTTTTAAATTAATATAAACTCCTAATGGAAATCTCGATGGAAATTTTCCTCACAGCGATTTCTGTGATATTCAGTCTACTTATAGTATGTGTTCTCGTGGTAATAGGTAAGAGAATGTCACGCTCGTATCGACAACATACATGCGCAGTTTTTACATTAAGAATTCATGTAAATTACAACGACGCATCTTTCTCTCTTAAAGAGTTTTTTCCCAGCTCAAAAGAAAATCGAAAATAGACTTTTCTACTTTTAGCTGTTATTTCCGGATATGTATTATACATACTACGTTTGTATTATGTATATGTCATTATATATATAGATTATTGCCTAGGTCCTATTATTTTCTAAATTTAGTGTCGTTTATAGAGAGAGAATTTGCATTCTCATGCAATGACACACATTGTTCATTGAACTGATAAGCATACTTATGTGTGTGTGTGTGTGTGTTTATATAAACTTATATCATCCTCTTAAAAAATTATGAATATATATATATATGCTCTTAAAAGACTTTCGTAACATATATTTCATTATTATTAAGTAATTATTTTAAAAAAGTGATTATTAATTTTTTACTTTATAGTAAAAAAATGAATTAATTTGTTATTTCTATAAAAGTTTCTCTATTTATTTTTTCTAATACAAAGTATATAAAATTACAGAAAAATAATTATTATATATATAAATATTTACATTATTTATTTTTTACAAAAGCATACACATTACAATAATATACACTCCTTTTCAGGTTGGTACTTAGTTTGGACGTTCTTTTTATCACGATTCCGTTTTGTAAGAGAATTGACTGGTAATGGAATGAGTGAATCGCCATCTGTTAGTGATTTGAAAAACGGTCGATCACGCATCAAAAAACTTCGTCGGGATTGAGTGTCGAAAAATATATTGAAGCTATTATTTATTACAGCTGAATCATATAAAAATCAATATTTATATCTGAGACATTTTCTGACAAAACATATCTGATCAAAATGTCTGTAAATATACGCTGTGCTACTACAGAAGACTTGCTGAATATACAGCATTGCAACTTACAATGTTTACCTGAAAATTATCAAATGAAGTATTACTTGTATCATGCTCTCTCTTGGCCTCAATTGAGTTACGTAGCCGAGGATGAGAAAGACAGGATAGTGGGATATGTGCTTGCCAAGATGGAAGAGGATTGCGAAGACAATCCTCATGGACACATTACCAGTTTAGCTGTGAAACGTTCTCACCGTAGACTAGGTATTGCTCAGAAGCTGATGAACCAAGCGTCTAGGGCGATGGTCGAATGTTTTGGTGCGAAATACGTTTCACTGCACGTTCGCAGAAGCAATCGTGCGGCTCTCAACTTGTACACCAGCAGCTTGCAGTTTGAAGTGTCGGAAGTAGAACCTAAATACTATGCGGACGGCGAAGATGCTTACGCTATGAAGCGAGATTTGACCAGCTTTCATCACGAGAAGGCTCTAAGGGATAGAGCACATAAAGAGGGCAATGTTCACACGCTACTCGGCAGAATTCGGATCGATTCTTGAACCACTTGCTTTACGTTAAGCAAACTTAAGAATATACCTCTCCTGCAGGTTGTCTTAAAGATTATAAAACTAATAAGGCCTTAGTATATGAATAAAAGTCGGTTCTTCAGTTCCGTCAATTCTCGGCATGTATAACATACATCAATTTTCTCTTTTTCTTCGAAATTTATAAAAATTGACACATTATTGATCACGTCAATGAGTACAACTAAACAACTAATTGTTAACTAAATATTAGAAAAGACTAAATTACACTAACAAAACGGTTAGATGAATCTGTATTTCTTAAATGATTATATACTGATGAGATATATGTATATACATATATATATTATATATAAATACACATCAAAGCGTCTGACTTGGTATATTAATATTTTTTGTATTCATGATTATGTAAAGAGTACCTATTGCCAATTTTCGCGATGGCATAAGATTGGAGCACTTTGGGATTGTTGTGGGTTTTTTAGTTGATAATTTCATCAATCGCGAACGATTCGACCCATACTATAAAATGTGTAGTTAGGAAATTATAAAGAAATAAAGGTATTTATGAAAAGGTTACATCTATATTTGATCTCTCCGGCTTATTTCACGGCTGAGTCTTTATTGAATGACCGAAACTATAAGTATACAAGTAACGCGCGCCAATATACAAAAAAACTGATCGTTTGACGTTTGTGTCGAGCGTTTTGTGTGTTGTTAAAAAATAGAAAAAGAACGCATTATTTTATATCATTGGAAAATGAGAGCTCAATTTATACAACTTCTACTTACATTCAAAGTCGAGCGCGAATCATCGTCTCGACCAGAGATATTTTCTTTCTTCAAATATTTTGTTTTCTTTTACAGTATAATTTTTCAGCTTACAAGTTATTTTTGACATTGCACGAGATTACTCAAACACATTTATTCCACTCTATCGCATTTTGGGATATTCCACTTTTTCTTGCAATAGTAATCATAATTATGTATATATAGTTATGTATAAATATATCTATGTACAAATAAGATGTTTCTCTCTTAAAAGGTAACATAACTTATTTAGTTCGTAACGCATCTGTAGGTCTTGCACAAAGAAGTCTTTTCTTTTCTTTTTCTTTTTTTTTTTAAGAGAATAAAACGCACAGAGAAATTGGTCTCGCTCGATAACTATATATATATCGAAAAACATTCGAAGCGTCAAACGAATTTTCGATGTGCTGTAAATACATTTTCTTAACGATATCACGCGCTTACACATCTCGAGAGCCTTTTCTCTATGATAATACGAAATATCGCTTACGCATTACATCATACACGTCTAACGAGTAATCGCGAAGATTTGTGTGTGACCACGCAAAAGGATTTTCCAGGTACAATGTATTAAGGGAAAATGAAGGAAACCACTTGATGGATGAGATAACATTCGTCAGCCTGCGTTACAACACGATATGCGAATGCGACGGTTCGGATGATAAGCACCTATTCAAGAGGAAAACAGGGAGGGAGGAAGGGAAGGGAGAAAGAAAGGGAGCTAATTCGATCCTATCATAAAAATTTCTAAATATACAACTCTAAATCCTACGTAACTGCCTGTCGTATTGTTATATTACACAAAAATGCTTTACTAGTAAATTATAATAATTATAATACAAGTCTCTCTCGAAAAACGAGGTTCTAACGTTTCTCCATACGCAATGTGGTTTTGGATAATCTTCAAGAGAAAAGATAATAAAAAATTGTAAACAATATATACACGTATTCTAAAGTTAAAATGTCGTAAGTCGCCCTCAAAGAATCACGCGGTTCTTCTATTAGAATTAATAAAATCGTTGTAATCAATCTTATGAAAACGAAAAAATTCGTATCAAACAGACCACAATCTCAGTGGAATAAAAGAGGAATCCGATAAATGCTCGATTATCTTTAAAGCTGCAACAAAACGGTCGATTACATCTTAATAACACAACTAACCGACGTATGTTAATACAACAGTCAGAATTATATTTCCGTTGTGTTGAATCAAGGCGTGGCAAAATTCTGATAGAATGTTTTGAAGATTTTCTTATGTATTGTGTGGAGCGAGTCTTACAATCAAGTCATCTTTAAGTACACTTTCGCACAAGTAAAAAATATTATTGAAACAAGTGCGCCGCAAGTTAGCGGAAAATCGTATACGTACATTTAGTCTTGACGCAAGCGTGCACTCGAAGATAATTTAGCTCGTGTCTTTAGCGTGTCTCGTGGGATCCTAACATGTGACACGGATATTGTCAAAGAATCAATGGTTTAGCCCAGTTTTGGATTCTTATTACAATTATAAAAACGACGGTTTTCGATGGTTGAACAATTTAAAAATGTAATTCAATGATCGATTTATCTAAATAGCACGAAGGTACGAAAGACGTCTAAAACATGACACACAATTGTCTCGAACATTACAATTTTTTTTTTTTTTTTTTTTTTAACATTAAAAATGGTAAAAAAGTAAAAGATCAAAACCAGAATTTGTTTGATTATTGAAAACATTCTTTCATCAGTGGCTAATTGTTTTAGTTCTTTTCTTCTCTTTTTTAAAGATTAACAATTTTAGGACCTTCAGTTATATTATTCACAATTGTTGAGGATCTCTTAGACGTCTTGCACGATGTGCTTCAGCCTATTTTATTTGCGTCAGTCTGCTACAGGGAAAAAGCTCCCTGCTAAGTTTTATTAAAATCGCTCGCTCGCGTATATTTTATACAAGAAAGGCGTTATTGATGTCGTTGTACGAGAAAATTTCGCGATAACAGTTCACAAATCTGTTTCGCCGCCGGTGACTGCGCTCGTGATATAAATTTGCTGTTATGAAAAAGCCTGGTAAGAAAAGGCTTTTGTGTGCTCGAAAAAGTCGTAACCCGGAGGTAAAAAGCTTCGTATAAAATTCGTTTTATATAAAGTCATCGTCCAAAACAAAAAATTATAACAATGATTTCTCTCTCAACAGAGTTGTCCCTAAAAAGTATATTCCTTCCCGAGAAAACTTTCATTGAAGTTTCTTGATGTCACTTTTTCGACATGTGTAATAAAAAAAAAATATAAAAAAAACAAACAAACGAACAAACACGCGATTTGTGCTTCTCGTCTCGGCAGTATTCATATCGATCTTTCGGATTGCCGTCACGTATCGAGAGCAATTGTGCTTGTTTGCCACAGGAGAAAACGCTCTAAAAAACCGTTACTGAAATCACTAATCGCTGATTTCAACATCGTGTGCCGACTATAACCGCAGCTTAACTTGATTCTTTTTTTTTTTTTTTTTTTTTTTTTTTTTTTTTTTTTTTTTTTTTCGTTTTAATTAAACGAGAGAAATCGGTTAAACTGAGATTACAGTTAACCGAGGTCAGCAAAACCGATTCTAAAAGAGAGATATGAATACACGTTCGTCTCTAAAGTTACGTGTATGTATATTCTAACTGTATATACGTACATCTATGTAACTACTAACACGTTTAGCTGCGTACGTCGTTCGAAATAGGTTCGCTTCGCGACGCAACCGTGAATCAATTAAGTCGCGAAATCGCGCAAGCCATTTCCGAGAACGTGCTAGAAAGCTATCACTTTGCTTTTGTTATACTTCATTTCACACGTCTATCTGAATGTCTAGATGAACGATACGGCTACACATGGTTTTCTCTATGAAAGATTACAATATACTTATATTCTCGAGAGTACGTTACAAAGACACTCTCGTCTCCAAGATAGTGATTTTTTTTTTCTTTTCTTACGATCTATATACCGGAGCTTTGGCAGTAGCAGGTTTCTATTTTAGGCCACGGATTCTCTTTATAATAATGAGAGGGTAATAGCTGCACAGGACACACTAAAGTGTGAATATCTGAAATTAGTTTTTTTTTGTTTTACCTTAGCACACACATAATAGTATGTGTACATGCGGTATTTAGGTTTGATTATATCTTGCCGTTTCTGTCGTTGGGATTCGAGCAAACGTTTCTTCTTTTGCACTAACTTCTTTTGAAAAAAAAATTACAAGAGATGTCTTTCAAATATCATTGTCCCATGTACAAGCGTAGTACTAGATCTCAAAATGTGACAGCAGCTTTTATAATAATTCGGATCTTACAAATAACGTTTGTAGGACCATTCATGAAAATTTCCTGAGTTGCTTTTGATCCATTTTATGTAAGAGTGAATATATTTAGTTGTTTTTTTTTTTTTTTTTTTTTTTTTACGAACGCGCTGGGAATCTTTAGTGTTGCGATCAATCGACACGAGGATGTGCGTGCGACAACAAACACGATCTCTCCTTTGAGTATAATCTTGGAATTGGTAACACGATCAAGTTACCAAACTTGATTGCAAATCTTTAAAATGCATTGCGTTTCAATCTTTCGCAGTCTCAAAGCATCTCCGTTAAGAGAAGAGAAATTGTCGATCATAAGGATTGCGTTTTAATTCAATCTTAAGGAACTTGTGGTTTACGCGTAAGAACAAAAACTTTTCAAGGTTGCTGAGCGGCGTGTATCATGGCGACCTTGAGATCTTTAGCCAAGTGTGAAACATCGACGACGCTATCTACCATCTCCTGGACTGCGGTGACGCTTGGAAAGAATTGAGCAGCCTGTTTCGTTTTCTGCACCGTCTGCGCGAGAGCTTCGTTCAGGGCGTTCGCGCATTGCAACACGCGCGTTCGCACGTCGTTGCGCGTCACGTTTCGATGCACTGTGTCGCCGATGTGTACCAGCCGATGCGCGCTTAACACAACAAATTTCCCGTGAGCCAGAAAAACCTGTAAAATTCCACATTATATCCTCAAAATAAATGTTTTATTTGCCATTATGTTTATATTTCGCATTTTTTCAGAATATTATTTCGGTTAATTTATATTTTTTTCTATTTTCAGATGTATTTTATATGAAGAAACGCATTGCGTGGTGCAGCAAGATGCCTCAACTCGCCTTGGGTGGTTGATTGTGTTCGACCGTCTGCAGAAAGGCGTCAATGGCGTGGGTCAGGTGTGCACCGTGCGTGATCACCTGAGCGGCATAGAAAGCCAACAATTGTTTATCGTTGGGGTCCATGGGCGTCGGTGTTGTGGGTGGCATCTGAATCGCCGCATTGTCCGTCTCGGACACCAAGAGATCGTAATTGCCGCGCAGCTCCTGCGGCAGCGCGGCTCGCAGCTCCTCTCTCTGCTTCGCCACAATCTCTCGCGAGTCGAGATTCACGTAGTCGTAATCCTCGCCGGCGCCGCTATTATTACTGCTGCCCGTGGAAATGATTGACGCTCGCTTGAAAAGCAACGTGGAATTTCCCTGCGCACAAGAGATCTTTTTATCAGCAACGGAGCCTTATTTCTCGAAGCATTCGCGTTACGCTGTATTCTAAAAGTGACATAAAATTTACAAAAGGTAAAAACAATTAAAATCCTTTAATTTTTTAAATCTATAATCATTAAAAAGTTGAATTCTACAATCGGTAAAAATTCATCTGTTTATATATATATATAAATATATTTTTTTTATAAATTTTTCAACTTTTACACACAAAGTTAAAAATCCAAAAAATAAATTTCTCTTAATTTGCAAAGAGAGTTTGTTCCATTTCTTTTTAATTCTATATTCCGAACATCGTGATCCGCGTAACAGATATGTTGCGAAAGATACTCACTTGAATGAAACTAGCGACTTGACGAACATCTTCCGTGAGCGCTCGGGCGCACGCGATCAGCTGATCAAGGGGATCCGGCTGCACAGGTGGTATTAACGAAGGCGGGGGTCCGTTAGTGGGCGTCGGTGTATCGCCACCGCCTCGGCAGAGCTTGCTCGCGTCCCATTCTATCGTGTCCAATTCGGTAGCGGCTTCCTGCACGAGCTTGTCGGAATCACGAAGCGCCTTTACCAGCGGTCGTAATTTCGTTGCCAAGCCCTTATCTGGCGCTTTGCCCGCATTACCCAGCGTACCTATGTGTGCGCGTGTACGTGTGAGCAAACAGTTTTTTGTAGCAAAACATTCTATGACAAATAAGTCAAAGAATAGAAACATTTTTCAATTCTTGTAAGAAACGATTCGAGAAACAATATCAAGTTATTTCATAATACGAAAAATCGAGTAAGGTACAGAAATGATAAAGATCTTGTCTGATAAACATCAAAAGAGATAACAATTTGTCTTTGAGCATCACCTTCCGCGAATTCGGTCAGATCGTGCAGGGACGTTCTGAGCCTGAGAGCAGCCAGTCTCAGGTCCATGAGAGTGGCGTCCAATCGCTGTGGCGTTCTCCAGCCGGGGCTCACGAATCCCAGTAGCCTCGCTATCGCGGCGGACGCCTCGCTCTGCAACCTCTGCAAGCCTTCTAGTGCGGATTCCAGCTCCAGCGGAAGCTCTTTGCTGACTGGCACATCGTAGATCTGTTGCGTGGGTGGCGGTGGGGTCGGGGTCTTCGGTATGGGTGTGTTGTGTCGGGACGGCAAAGAGGACGCTGGAAGACGCGGTCGGGGTACATCGTAATCCGGAGCGGTCAAACTCGATCTGAAATTCAAAAGGAAAACATCCATCATCCGCGGTGGCAAAGCGAATGCATTCAGGTCGAAACTTTTTTTGACTTATTATCAATCGCTGTCGAGAGATGAGAAACATTTCGCGACAATCCTGAAACTTCAATTCCACGAAATTTCCAGAGTTTTGAATTCTAAAATTTTTGCACTCTTTAAATCATTCTCTTTGCAAGATTTTTAAAACTTTCTTCGATTCTTCTTTATTTATTCCGAAACTCTCAAGCTCTCGACGCGCGAATAAATTCGAAATTCTCGTATCTCCGAAGAACATGCAATTCAACGAAACGTAGCGCCGTTTTCACGCCTGAGGAATTTCGACCGCGTTATTCCCAGAGCAATCCAAGGCATCGCGGAAATGCAGAGTGAACGTACCTGTTCGACCCGCTGAGAGATCCGTCGTTGGTGAGGCTGGAGGCCGAGCTGCTGGGCGTGAGGGGTTGCAAGGGTCGCGGTACGTCGTAGCAATCCAGCGGTGTGATACCGGAGCCGGCGGAACAGTTCGAGTTGGGCGTGCAGGATGTTGGCGGTCTCGGTATGTCGTAGCACGACGGCGCCGGACTGGGACTGCTCGCCGGCGACGGGATCACCGGAATCGCGCGCGGCGGCACGTCGTAGCACTCATTTACATCACCGCCACCGTTGTCGACGGAGTTTCGCGCGCTGTTGCTGGTGAATCGTCCTGCACAGGTAAAAACGCGTTTGACAAGAGAAATCGTGAAAAAATTTCTTGAATTTTGAAGGTAAGTTTCTAAGCTAACTTGTCCGAGCGTGTTTAAAATCTAATTTTTAATATTAAACGCGCAAAAGAGAAACAAGAACAATGCGAATAATGTTTGACCAAATCATATTTTTTATAAAATTTTATTTGCAGTTTTTTACGCAAATTAAAACAACTTTATCGATAAAAAAATATGGTGCATCTACGTAAAATTAATTAACTGTCCAAACATGGTTGCCGTAATTTATTTGTTTTTCAGAGACGCAAAATTAAAAAAACATTTCCATTGATTAATATTTCAGTTAATGAACAAACTTTGGCAGACCGCTCTATCACAAACGACCATTCTGTTACAGACAGGCTGTTTAGTTTGCGAATAATACGTACCCGTATTGTGCGAATGCTCATTGTTCGAGTTGAGGGGTGAATCGTGTCTGGAGGGCGGCGCGGGACTCCCTCGATTGGCTGGGAGATCGTACAGGTAGACGTCCCCGCACTTCTGCGGCGTCACAACCTGCATAATCGAAAGCAGCAAAGCGATTAATTATATCCCGACTAATTACCGGAGTCTATGCTTCGCGTTTCTGCCACCTGCGTTCGTACGCAATCGGCGGCTATTTTTCGTCGCCGTGTTTCTCGCTTTGTGAGTGCAACAGTAAATATCTGACAACGGGTTCAATTAATTTAACCGACTCAATCACGTGAAAGGCTAAATTTAATGCGAATTTTTAAAACAATATGGATACAATAAAGAGAAATTGACAATAATTTACAAAATTCCAAAAATTATTTAATTAATGGTTTTGTCAAGTGAAAATAACATTGATACGTAATACATTTTCGGGAAAATATACAATAAATAAATAATATTGAGATAAAAGAGATAGAGGAAATGAAAATGAAAACAGACTAATAAATAAATAATCAATGTATTTATATGAAAGAAAACATTGCTTCAAAAAGTTTTAAAATTCAGTAACTATGTTTTTCAGTTTAGATAATCATATATATATATTTGCACTTTGTAAATTAATTGTAAATTAATTTTAATGTAAGTATTCATGTTAAAAAAAGTGTCAGCATTTTTTCGAATTCCCGAACAATTGAGCTGTGAGAAAAAAATAACAGAGACTGATTCGATAGACGTCTCGATAGCTATATAATATTTACGTCGAGTCACTCGTGGAACCTGTAACAAAGTTATTTTGTGCGAACGCCAATCAGTTCTTTTACTCTTTCCACCGCGCGCGATGTAACCTCGAGGATTTTGTTCGAGTGCAGTTCGCCGCAGTTGAGGATTAATTCAACGAGATCTCTAATTGAGCTATTTGATTGTTTCCTACGAGGAACGAAGAGACCCAAGGAAAAAGAGAATTTCGATTCGCTATCGGTCATATCAAAGCGTCGCTTTCCCAGAGAAAATACACCGCGCGTAACATTCTTCCGGTTTATTCCGTAAAAGAATACTACACAGAATATTAATGATTAACAAACGCATTTAAATTAACGACTGACATACGTATTCCGCAAAAATTAATAATTGGCATTTTGTTCATTCAAATGTCAATCTTTGAAAGTTCTGATAACTTTGAGAGAGAACAGCTTTCAAAGATAAAATCAACTTAATTCACAATTACTCGAGTTTTGTTGTTTAAAAGCGATTTTAATTTTTGGAAATAAGTCGCTAATGACTCGCCGAAGTAATGTTTTAATAATCTCAAATCACATTACAGACGAGAGACATATTAACGACTAGATTTAATCGCAGTGCAAGCTCGCACATTGCGAGCGATGAAGCGTCGGGAAAATGTAATTTCGCTGATAAAACGCGAGTGTAGATAGTCGATGGTGATGGGCAAATACGAGGGAAAAAGGGGGCGGGATATCACCCAGGAGAGCGTAATCTCGGGAGCTCATCGGCCGCTGCTTGCAATAATAGAAGCTACGGCAACCCTTGCGTTACGCTCAACCGCGCCACGCTTTTGTTCGTACTTTTAATCCACGTCTCGCAGTACACGATAACAGTTGAAAACTTTTTCTCTTTCACAAATACTAGAAGTTTGCACAGTATCATCGATTTTTTCGTCTCACAAAAAAAAAGAGAGAGAGAGAGACAGAAAGCACAGACGAACCAATGTCCATTCGCATATGATCGCGTTAGATGAAAGTTTCGAATAAAAGCTGAAAAAAATATTGGTAAAAAGAGTTTAAAAAGATCTTATACAAAATAATAGGCCTGCGGAGGAAACAAAAAATTTATAGGCGCACTCCGCAACGACCGAGAAGAAATGTCGGACACGCCCTGTGCATAAAATGGTGCAGTCTCGACTATCGATATCGTCGTAAAACCCCCGCTCCGTTCGACGGCAATCTACAATTTTCCGTCGAATGGCCAGTTTCGCGTTCGCAAAGTGGAATACCGGGGCTCTTGCTCACTTACGGCTGAAAGTTTTCGATCGGCGGAACTTGTCGCGCACTCAGAACGTACGAGGAGGAAGAGAAGAGACGCGCGCGCGCGCATGCAGAAGTCCTCGAATGTATTCTGTCCGAAAGAATTGTCAAAGATGCGAGACGGGAAATTTGGGTCACAAGTTCTTATCGCGGCGAACGGGCGGCAAGACCACCCAACAAATAACACACACACACACAGCGCGGTATTTGCTTCGATCTCCAACTCCCTCCTTCCTCCCGCGAGTTATTTCAGCTCCATTTAATTCGCCGATTGAACGCGCTTGCAGAAAACCCGAAGTGATTTGTTACCTTAGCCGGAGATATTTGGCCACGAAAGTATAGAGTTCACGAGGTTACGTACTAATGATGCGTTTGCGTCAGATTCTAAGAAGAGCATATATAATTTAGCATTTCATCTTTATTACTTGCATATATATAATAGTTAGATGCCCCGCAAATGGCAAAGTTATAAATATCACATTCATTTGGAACGTATTATTTTCTCCTCGGGATTTGTGCCTACGTCAAACGACAATCCTACAAAAATGAACATTGTATTTTATACAATTTTCTAGAAAAATATCTTTTGATCATTTTTATTGCCGTGTTTGAAAGTTTCAATTTTATTTTAAGATGAGAAAAAGTTTTGACAAAAAACAGGTTCAAAAGTTCTTCCGCCAAGTGTAAAGACGTATAAAAGTGCGTATAAATAAACTTTCGAGCTTCGCGATATTTTAGAGTCCACAGATGATCTGATGAAAAGCTCTTTCTTTAAAAGAACAGCTGCTGAACTACTAATTGCTTGCTCCGCCAACACACGAGTTTCCTTTTTGTCGGGGCCGCAAGAAAGCTTCCGTTACCGGGGAATGAGAAATGTGTGCTAATTACGCCACATATCACCACCCTTTGGTTATAGCCTCGCCTCCTATATGCGACAAAGTTGAGATTACCTTCCGCGAGGATTTACGAGCGTTTTCGAACGCGAAGATGAAACTACGTACGGCGATTGCTTACTCTTCAATTAAAGAGAAAGAGAGAGAGAGAGAGAGAGAGAGAGAGAGAGAGAGAGAGAAATTTTTATAGAGAATATCTTCTAAATAAAACCTCGGAACTCAATCGTCTTTAATCGATTATGTAAATCGCAAAGAAATAAATATGAGGAGCAATAATCTAAATAATCAAAAATATGTTCAATGCCACGGAATATAACATAAGGCTGCAGTGTATTACAAATCCGCACAAATCGAATCGTATGTCTGAGACATGTTACATGTACACGATAGTGGGTTAATCAAAATTCCCCCAAGCAGAATGTAGAACAGAACGACAGGCTGTCGTCGAAAAGGCGGAACATGGTCTACGTTATGAATTAAAGCACGCGAGTACTTTATCGTGCGTTCTTTGTTATGAATCGAATAGTACTATCATAGTGAGGGGGTTGTGGAGCACACTGCACCGAAGGAGGGTGCTAGAAGGTTGAGAGCGCTGCAACGCAAGGGTGCACTGAAACCGAAGTGAAGGGAGTGGCGGTGAAGTATAGAGGGGAGGAGGGATAACATGACGGTCGATACTGGGCGTCGCGGCGCTAACTGTGAAAGGCATATTACGCTACGTAGGGCGTACAAGAGAAAGTAGGAGAGAAAGGAAGAAAGAGAGAGAGAGAAAACGAAAGAGAGGGAGAGTGAGACAGTGATGGATTTAGAATTCTAGAAACCCCAAAATAAAAAAAAAAAGTATTTTTTCAAACAGTTTAAATCCATTTTTTAAATGGAAGACATTTTATGTTATTAAAAAAACATTTAAAGAAATAAAATATTGTTTTGTTTACATGGCCGTTTTGTAAATGCAATAATGTAAATGCAATAGTAAATTTACAAGATTTTCACGTATCTTGAATAATTAATCTAATCTACTTATTAGCGAGTTCGTTAATCGATCTAACAAATACGAAATGCTTGAATGAATTTGTAACATTAAAAAATTAAATAAGTCACGAAACAATAAATTTATTCTAAGTGTATGTAAACTAAAAATTATAAAAAGAAACTGAAATCTGCAATGATTTTCCCCATTCTTTGTTACAGTTTCTAACTTTGCCAGAATTCATATAAAAAATTAACAGATATCAAGAACACGCTTGTACAACACCGATCAAACTTCGTTGGTTATAGATCCGCTCCTGGCAGGGGCGAAAAGAGAATGGGAGAAGGGGAGAAATGGAAGAGAAAGGAAGGAGAAAGAGAAAGCAAGAGGAGATAGAAAGACGGTTTCTATGGAAACGCGGAAGGAGGCTCTCCACCTTCCACGGAAGCAGGACTTTCGGCCTGTCTCAGACCGCGATAAGGAGTTTTATAGGAACAGCCGGCACAGAGTGACTTACGCATTCGATCCCATAAAAAAATGTCGCTGTAAATATACGATACGACGAAAGGAACGAATTTGAAATATATTCCAGTCCGATTTTACACGAATTTATAAAATAATATAACAAGAAAAAAAAATCACATATCGATTTTACGCACAAAATTTACGATAAAATACTAAGCCAAAAATATTTATGTTTGACAATAAAATTTATCTTGAATTACGCGAGAGAAGTCCTTCGAATAAAACATGAATGTGAATTATGATCGTGTTGTATCGAAATACAGTCTCTCGCTCCGCATGCAAAGGAGTGGGCAAGTACGCGCGTGCAAACTTGCATATAAATCCCCTTGTATCTAAAAGTGACGCGTTACGCGCGAATTTCGGCAACACGTTGCATTAGTTAACAAGTTCGCGTGTTGGCAACAGCCAACCGTGTAGATCGTTTCGAGATCCACTTCGTGGATGTAAAGCACAAGTGCAGTCGTCGTAATCACGTTAATCCGCTGCTTGTGAATAAGTTCTCGCGCGAAACTTCCGAATGCGCTCTCATCCGGGAAAGGGGCAAAGAGGTAATAAAATATGCGTGGAGAGAATAGGAAAGTTTCCTTCATGCGTAAAAGCGTTGTTACGCAACGGACAATAACGCGGCCCGTTCCGACAAAGTTAACTTTAACCGCAGTTTTTACTGAATTTTTA